TGCACACATCAATACTTGGGCTTGGACCTCGCATGCTCAGCATTTTCACTGATGCTCTACCAGTTTAGCCACACTTCCACTTCCAGCTTTTTGTTGGTTAACTGGAGATAAGAATCTCAGATTTAGGTTGGGAATGTAGCTTAGTGGTAGAGTGCTTGCCTAGCATGCATGAAGCCCTGGCTTCCATTCCTCAGTACCACAGAAACAAAAACAACAAAAAAAGTCAGGCCGGGCGCTGGTGGCTCACGTCTGTAATCCTAGCTACTCAGGAAGCTAAGATCTGAGGATCACGATTCAAAGCCAACCCGGGCAGAAAAGTCCATGAGACTCTGATCTCCAATAAAAAACTCACTAGAAAACTGGAAGTGGCGCTGTGGCTCAAGAGGTAGAGGGCTTGCCTTGAGCTGAAGAATGCAGGGACAGCGCCCAGGCCCAGGGTTCAAGCCCCAGGACCGACAAAAACAAAAACAAAGAAAACAAAAAGTCAGAACCAAGCTCCAGTGGTTCATGTCTGTAATCCTAGCTACTTAGACTGAGATCTAAGGATCACAGTTCAAAGCCAGCCCAGGCAAGAAAGTCTGTGAGACTCTTATCTTCATTTAAGCACCAGAAAACCAGAAGTGGTGCTGTGGCTGAAGTGGTAGAGCGCTAGCTTTGAGCTGAAGAGCTGAGGGACAGCGTCCAGGCCCAGAGTTCAAGCTCCACAACCAACAACAACAAAAAAAGTCAAGTGGCACTGTGGCTCAAGTGGTAGAATGTTAACCTTGAGCAAAAGAAGATCAGGGACAGTGCCCAGGCTCTGAGTTCAAGCCCCAGGACTGGCAAAAAAGAAAGCAAGCAAAAAGAGAGAGAGAGAGAGAGGAAAGAAAGAAAGAAAGAAAGAAAGAAAGAAAGAAAGAAGGAAGGAAGGAAGGAAGGAAGGAAGGAAGGAAGGAAGGAAGGAAGGAAGGAAGGAAGGAAGAAAGAAAGAAAGAAGAAAGAAAGAAAAAACGAAGCTCAAAGTTGTCTGCCCATGTTGGCTTTGTACTTGGATCCTCAGATCTCAGCCTCCTGAGTAAGTAGGATTATAGTCATGAGCTACCAGTACTTGGCCACTTGAGTTTTTTGTCATTGGTGGTGGTTGTGGGGCTTGAACTCTGGGCCTGGGCGCTGTCCCTCAGCTCTTCAGCTCAAGGCAAGTGCTCTACCACTTCAGCCGCAGCGCCACTTCTGGTTTCCTGGTGGTTAATTGGAGATAAGAGACTGACAGACTTTTCCTGCCCAGCCTGGCTTTGTACCGTGGTCCTCAGATCTCAGCCTCCTGAGTAGTTAGGATTACAGGTGTGAGACTCTGGAACGTGGCTTTAAAGTGTGTGTGTATGTGTGTGTGTGTGTGTGTGTGTGTGTGTTAGTCCTGGGGCTTGAACTCAAGGCCTGGACACGTCTCTGAGCTTTTTTGCTTAAGGTTAGAGCTCTATCACTCCAACCACAATTCTGTTTCTGTTTCTGGCTTTTTTTTTTTTTTCCAGTAGTTTATTGGCAATAAAAAGTCTCATGGACTTTCCTGCTTGGGTTAACTTTGAACCACAACCCTCAGATCTCAGCCTCCAGAGTAGCCAGCATTACAGGTGTGAGCCACTGGCACCCAGCCTGAGCTTTAAGAACTATCTCGTGTGAGTGCTGCCAATGACAGGACAGAGAGCAGAGCTAGAGTGCAGCTAGACATCCACTCCTTGGGGACTTCAGAGGACAAGGACAAGGCCACAGCTAAGGCCAGAAGCAAAGTCAAGCAAAATCATCCAGGTAGATGCTCCCGAGAATCTGTCTCATTGTGAACAGTTGGGAGGTGACTTACGGTGGTCAGGAGGCTGGGAGGGAACTGAGAACTTGGAGAAGGAACTTAAGAGGGAGGGGCAGAAATTGCCAGGAAAGTTGGAAATACAGAAATCTAAAGCAATAATGACATAAAGGACCTGCGGCCGCGTCCAGTTCTCCAAATGCAGGGCGGAGTGAAGAGTCGCTGGGACTCTGTCTCCCCGTGTGTAGTCCAGAGGTCTGGCCCGCCACAGGAAAGGGCCTAAAATAGAGCAATGATTGTTTGTAGCGGGGGAAAATGGAAAGGCCACGCTCAGAGCTGCTACAGAAATTCACTGCCATGATCCTGAAGCATTCCGGGAGGGAAGCCAGACGGCAGAGGATCGCAAAGGTCGTTCCCAGGGGCCAGTCCAGTCTCCCACTGATCCCTTTATCCGCAGGCTTTTTCCACAGCCTCTAATTGACCCTAGAGACTTGGCTTCGGGCATGTTTTAACTTAATTAGGAACCTGTTTACTTCTCAAAAGTTCTGTTAACTGATACACCCAAGGACTGATAGCTGCGAAATTAGCTCTTCACAGAACCCAGGAAGGTAAACCCTGTTCACCCTGAGGCACAGCTAGAGTAGTCAGACTACAAGTGGCTCTTATTTAGGTAAGGTGGCTGATAAACATCTTCCCTGAGGGAGATAGCTGGACTAGCGGGAGCAGCTGCGGCCGAGGTGCTTTATTCTAATGGAAACCACCTGCTCTCAAGGTTCCAGAACTCCTCCACAGTGGGCCTAGGAAAACAAACAAAATGCTAAATAAACAAACCCACACTCACACAAAAAAATTCTAGGATTACAGCTACCTGAAGTCCTGCTGAATTCAGGGCTCAGTGATCCTAACTATTAAACAAGGTGAAGGCCTTTGAAGTCCTGGAGGAAAGGTTTCACCTAAATACAATTATCCTATGAAATCTGTCAAACTGGGTGGCCCTTTTATCTGATTTTGTGTCTGGCTGACATTCAGAGATGACAACTTCCATATGCGGGGGGGGGGGGGGGGGGGTGTCTTGGAAAGGGCTTCAAATAGCTTTGCTACTTTTCCTCTCATTTCTGAAAAAGAAAAGTGTTATTTCATTATCTTTCATCAAGGGCAATGCAAGCTGGGAGTCGGTGGTTCCAGCCTGTTAATGCTAGCCACTCAGGAGGCTGAGATCTGAAGATCACAGTTCAAAGGCAGCCTGGACAGAAAAGTGTGTGAGTTGTATCTCCAATTAACCAGCAAAAAGCTAGAAGTGGAGTTGTGGTTCAAGTGATAGAGTGTCAGTGTCCAAACCCTGAGTTGAAGCCCTAGAACTGGCACACACACACACACACACAAACTGTAAGCCATACAGGGCCCCCTAATGGCATTTCAGAAGCAGGAATCTGGTTCCAAGCTAATGAAGTATTCACTAAGGGGCAGGGGCCTGGCAGAAAGCCAGACTTGGATGAGCTATACACAGAAATGATCATACAGGATCGTAGAAGAGTAGAAATGCATTTCAATGCATGAGTTTACTGGGTGGCAAAACTCTCACACTCAAACAGAATTAGGAAAAGAGAGTAAAGAGGAGGGATTGATTTTTTTTTTTGTCCAGTCATGGGGCCTGAACTCTGGGCCTGGGCGCTGTCCCTCAGCTCTTCAGCTCAAGGCTAGCACTCTACCACTTGAGCCACAGCGCCACTTCCCGCTTTTTTTTCCTGCTTATGTGGTGCTGAGGAATCGAACCCAGGGCCTCAAGCATGCAAGGCGAGTGCTCTACCACTGAGCCACCTTCTCAGCCCAAGAGGAGAGATTTTTTTGGGGGGGGAGGGAGGGGGTTGGTTGTGGGGCTTGGGCGCTGTCCCTGTGCTCTTCAGCTCAAGGCGAGTGCTCTACCTCTGAAGCCACAGCGCCACTTCCAGTTTTCTAATAGTTTATCAGAGATAAGAGTCTCAAGTACTTCCTGCCTGGGCTGGCTTTGAACAACCATCCTCAGATCTCATCCTGATTAGCTAGGATGACAGGCATGAGCCACCGGCGCCAGCAGGAGAAGGATGGTTTCTTTTTTAACACTTCATTATTAATTGTTCAAAATAAGTTTCATCATGACCTTCTCATACCTGCAAAATGTACTCCACTCTTAGTTACCACCCCATCCCTCCATTACACTTGCTCCTCCCTCCCCAAGAGATGCTTCTTAAAAAGGCCAACTGTAGAAAGCCACTGCAGGGAGAAGCAGTGGCCTGCCGTGTCTGAGGAAGCCATGAGCCCAGCAGGTGCAGGGTCTGCACGGCGTCACACAGAGCCTCACCATGAGCGGGGTGATGCATGCCTGCAGTCCCAGCCCTTGGGAGGGAGAAACAGGAGGATGACACGTGAGGACAGTCCAGGCTACACCACAAGATCCTGTCTCGGTAATGTGTGTGCCAGAAATGGGACTTGAACCAGGGCCTCCGTGGCTTGGCTTCTTTCGCTCAGGGTGGGTGCTCTATTGGAGCTGAGTCTCTCAAATCTGTCTGACTTTGATTCTCAGATCTCAGCCTCCTTCTGAGAAGTCTGGATTACAGACGTGAGCCACCAGTGCCCAGCCTTCAAATTACTTTCGCTGACAGAGGATGAATTTTCAGTGAGGTTTTGCTGTGGCCTTGCCTCCAAGGGAAAGGAAAATGAAGGAGAGCGAGACGGCAAAGAGAATGTTTCCAAAGCGCAACGCGTCCTCCATGCAGGGCTGGGGTGTGCGTCTCCCATCAGCCATCCCCAGTCGCTGCGCCACTCACCCACCTACGGGGAAACTGGGTAGAACAATATTGGTGGTGTCAGGGTGACACTGCTCTGCTGACAGCAGAACGGGGCTTGTCCCAGACTGTTCTTAACTTCAACTAGACAACCCAACAGAGCCTGCAGACTACTCTGGGTAGGGGGCAAGTCTTCACAGACGCTGGGAGGGGGCCCTGGCACCCCCGTGGGCACGTGCACTTGGGCAAGGCTGTGAAGGAAGCGCCCAGACCACAGCACCCAGACACCTAACACTGCCAGACTTCAACCCGGAGCTGGGTTTGGGGTGCAGCCTAGCGCAGAATGCATGCACAGCACGTGCAAGGGCCCTGGGTTCCACCCAGCACCACAGAAAGGTAAATGAAGACGGAACACACAGCGCATGGCAGAAGTGGAAATAATGAGACAAATATTTACTATAAAAAGTCAGTTTATTTTCCCTTCCTGTGTTTACTTTCCCTTTATGTCAGTAAATGAACAACAGCATGATTATATTTAATCTGCATGATTCAATAACATTAACAAGTTCATCAATGCACCACATTGTGAAATATAAAGCCAGAGGTTGAAAAAAAATATTCCCTACCCAATGCAAATTAGGAATCTCTCAAAATTGCACAACTTCCTCATTTGCTTATATAATTTAAAATATACAGAACGACCTTACAACATTGATTAATATAGAAAGGACAGCCTAGCAGACATTTACACCACCATCTCCTAAGAGGACAGGGCCCAAGGCCGGGCAACCATCAACCCATTCACATGACTTGAGGGCACACTAATTCTAGTCTGCTGAGTTACGTCCTGGAACCCGGAGCAATCCTCTAAGAGCCAACTAAGCGGAGGATCTCAGAGGTCGCTACCACTCCCAGCCTGTGGCTTGAGAGGAAGTCCCAGCTGGAATGTTCATGATATCTGTCCTTGAAAGGGAGACGACGGCTCCACCCCTCAGAGTCCCCGTGTGAAGTGGGAAGAGAGCAAGCAGCCAAGAGCTTCTGGAGTAAAGGACTGCGGTGCGCCACGCAGCAGGCGTGCGGTCTCAGACGCCCATCCGGTGCCCAGCTCATCCGGTGCCCAGCTCGTGGCTCCTCCAGCAGGCGCTCTTCGCTATTCCAAAGCGACCCCACTCCCGGCATGGGCGCCAAAGCAAAACGCAATGGATCCCTCCCTCCTCCCGGCTCTGCCTTCCGTTCACGCAACTCGTAAGGCTGGAGAACATGGTCCAGGGCCGACACAGTATCTAAGGCAAGAGGGATAAACCTCACCAGGCGACCAAAGGCTGCCTGCGGGTCCATATGCCATTCAGTACATTCACAGAACAACAGTAAAAAGAAATCGCCAATCATTCCTGTAGTGTAGAAAAATAGCACGGCCTCCTCTACCGGAGGCGTCTCGGCAGCTGGCGAGGCTGCAGAAAGCCGGCTCCTGCGGGTGCCCTGAACCCTCAGACAGGGAGCTAAAGACCCAATGAGCAGTCCTCCTGCGCGCGTGCGCGCCGCCGTGGTCCTCGCCGCCGCCTCCGGCGCCAGTCACTCGCTCAGCATGCGAGCTCGTCCCCTCCGCACCAGAGAGCACATCTCTCTAGCTATTAATGGCGAGATAAACAGAATTGTACAACTTGTCTGTGAAGAGAAAAAAGAATTAAACATGCAGCAACCGTGTTTCTTCTTGTGGGGGGAGGGCGAGGGTGTCAACCAGTATTGGGGGGCTTCAACTCAGGGCCTGGGCGCTCCTTCTGCCCAAGGTTAGTGCTCTACCACTTGAGCCACAGCTCTACTTCCGGCTTTGTGGTGATTAACTGGAGATAAGCGTTTCAGACTTTTCTGGACTTGCTAGCTTTGAACCCTGATCCCTAGATTTCAACATTCTAAGTAGTTAGGATTACAGGCTTGAGCCAGTAGCTCCCCACAACCGTTTCCCTCTGTTAGAACATGTTTTTATTTGCCAGAGCCAGGGTTTGAACTCTGGGCCTTGTACTTGCTCTGTTGGCTTGCTATCTTAAGGTACTCAACCATTTCAGCCATGACTCTAGCCCAGCTTTTTCCTGGTTATTTTAGAGATGGGAGTTTTGTTGGGTTTTTTTGTTTTTGTTTTTGTTTTGTCAGTTATGGGGCTTGAACTCTGGGCCTGGGCGCTGTCCCTCAGCTCTTCAGCTCAAGGCGAGCGCTCTACCACTTGAGCCACAGCACCACTTCTGGCTTTTTCTGCTTATATGGTGCTGAGGAATCGAACCCAGGACCTCAAGTATGCAAGGCAAGCACTCTACCACTGAGCCATCTTCCCAGCCCCATGAGATAGAGTTTTGAGGATTTTCCAGGCTAGCTTCAAAGTAAGATCCTTCTGATCTCAACCTCCTGAGCAATGGACACCATGTTTTGAACATCTTAGACTTAAGACATTAATTGTGACTTCATACAAAGTAACTTGAGATATCAAGTATCAAAGTTCAAAGCTGGACTAGGCAGAAAAGTCTATGACACTCCTCCTCCCAAATAACAAGCAAAAAGCAGGGCTAGAGGTGTGGCTCAAGGAGTAAAGCACCAGCCAAGCAAGGAAGCAAGCTGAGCAAGTGCCATGCCCTATGTTCAAACCCTAGAACCAGCAAAAAAAAAAAAAAAAAAAAAGGTACACAATTGTCTAAGCTCAGACCTCAGTCTCCTGAATAGTGAGGATTATAGGTATAAGCCACCCGTCCCAACTAAATCAAGGGTTTTTTCTGCAACATTTGCCAATAGGGGGCTGGGAAGGTGGCTCAGTGGTAGAGTGCTTGCCTTGCATGCATGAGGCCCCGGGTTCGATTCCTCAGCACCATATAAGCAGAAAAAGCCAGAAATGGTGCTGTGGCTCAAGTGGTAGAGCGCTCGCCTTGAGCTGAAGAGCTGAGGGACAGCGCCCAGGCCCAGAGTTCAGGCCCCACGACCGGACCAAAAAAAAAACATTTGTCAATAGGGTCACAGCAGGAGGTTCATCTGAAGGGGCCCCCTCTGCTTAGCGGGGTTAGAAGATGGAAGGCCAGCGCTTGAGGGCTTCGGGGACTTGCTACAGTTGCACTACCTCCGGCTCCATGGAGCGGCTAGAAGACAGCTGCCTCCAGTTAAGCCAGCCTAGATACTGAACACGCCCTCTTGAGGATACAAGCCGCGCCAGACTTTCCGCTGACCAGTCGTGGGCACTGCCCGGCCAATCATGTAAGAGAAGGCCATGTGGTGGTTCAACAGGAAGCCGCCATTAAAAGCACACAGCCATCTTCTGTACTGGATGTTTCCCAGAGCACAAAATCCCAGCTAAGAATGTCCAAGACAGAACTATCTCAGCGACAAGAGCCTGCACAGGCTCCTGCATGGCTGCCCTAACCCCGCTTTGCTTGGGCCCATGCTAATTTCCTTCAGAATTCCCAAATTACAGGTAGCAGACAGACGGCAGCCTAGAAGAACACGCTGATTAATGGTTGGCAAGATTTAAGTAAGTCTTGATTTGTTAGAACTAAAAATGGCAATGCTCATTACACTCAGATCAAGAACTTAGCCAGCTAGCTAACTTGGTACCTGATCTTTCACTCACGGGCTGGTGCTTTACCAACTGAGCCACGCCTCCAATCCCAAAAGTGTGTCTTTTAGACTAAGAAAATGTTACTTTTCAGCTGGGCACTTGTGGTCCACGCTTGTAACCCTAGTTATTCAGGAGGCTGAGATCTGAGGATCATAGTTTGAAGCCAGCCTGGGCAGGAAATTCTGTAAGACTCTCATCTCTAATTAAACACCAAAGAGCCAAAACTGAGCTGTAGCTCAAGTGGTAAAGCATTAGCCTTGAGCAAAAATCTTAGGGACAGTATTCAGGCCCTGAGTTCAAACCCCAGAACTAGGACCCCAAAAAAAGCTATTTTCAGCTAGGCACCAGTGGCTCATGCCTGTATCCTAGCTACTCGGGAAGCTGAGATCTGAGGATCAAAGTTGAAGCCATCCTGGGCAGAAAAATCCATGAGACTCTTATTTCCAATAAACTACTCAGAAAAAGCCAAAAGTGATCCTGTAGCTCAAGTGGTAGAGTGCTAACCTTGAGCACAAATAGGTGAGGAACAGCACCCATGCCCTGAGTTCAAGTCCCAGGACTGGCCCCACCCCCAAAAAACTATTTTCACAAATAGGATCTTTAAAAGCAATCACCAATTTTGTTGGTTTCAATAAGTAATTAGTAAATGTCCTGAACTAAATTAGTTTTCATAAAAATGGTTAGTTAAAAGAGGTACAGCCAGGTACCTGTGGCTCACGCCTGTAATCCTAGCTACTCAGGAGGCTGAGATCTGCGGATTATGGTTCAAAAGCCAGCCTGGGCAGGAAAAGTCCATAAGACTCTAATCTCTAACAAGCCACTAGAAACCCAAAAGTAGTGCTGTGGCTCAAGTGGTAGAGTGCTAGCCTTGAGCTGAAGAGCTGAGGGACAGCGCCCAGGCCCAGAGTTCAAGCCCCACACTGACAAAAAAAAAAAAAGAGGTACATACTTACCATGAGAATGAAAAAGTAGAAAACCCACATCCATCCTAGGTTGTCCTGGATCAAAGACACCAAATACTAAAGAAGACAAAAGCAAATTAAAATTTAAGTATTTATCATTTGATAGAATGAACCAGGTGCAGAGATACACATCTGTATTCCCAGCACTCAGAAGGCAGAGGGAGTATGATCTCAAGTTCAAAACCAGGCTGGGCAGCAGTAAGACCTTGCCTCAAAAAAATTTTTTTAAATAAAATCAAATAACTAAGGGGCTGGGAAGGTGGCTCAGTGGTAGAGTGCTTGCCTTGCATGCCTGAGGCCCTGGGTTCGATTCCTCAGCACCACATAAGCAAAAAGAAAAAAGCTGGAAATGGCGCTGTGGCTCAAGTGGTAGAGCACTAGCCTTGAGCTGAACAGCTGAGGGACAGCACCCAGGCCCAGAGTTCAGGCCCCACGACTGGACCCAAAAAAAAAAAAAAAAAAAAAAATCAAATAGCTAAAAAAGTAGATTCCTCCCTCTCCTTCTCCCTTCCCTCTCTTCTTCCTTCCTTCTCTTCCTACTTCCTCCTTCCTTCCTTGCTTTTCTTTTTTTTTTTTTTAATTTAATTTAATTTTATTTGTGAACATACTGTACAGAGGAGTTACAGTTACATGGGCAGGATAATGCGTACATTTCTTACCAAGCATTGCAGCCTCCTCCTTTGTTTACCCTTCACATCCCTTCCCAGCCTCCCCCCTCCCCTCTTGGCTTTTCTTTTTGTCTGTCATGGGGCTTCAACTCTGGGCCTAGGCGCTGTCCCTCAGCAATTTAGCTCAAGGCTAGTGCTCTACCACTTGAACCACAGTGCCACTTCCGGCTTTTTCTGCTTATGTGGTGCTGAGGAATCGAACTCAGGGCCTCAGGCATGCAAGGCAAGCGCTCTACCACTGAGCCACCTTCCCAGCCCCCCTTCCTTCCTTTTAGTGCCCATGCTAGGACCTAAACTCAAGTCCTCATTCTCACTAGGTTTTTTTTCATTCACAGCAGGTATTGTACAGATAATCCAGGCCTCCGATCCTAGCTCTTTGCTGGTTAATTCGAGATATGAATCTTGAGGATCTGTATGCCTGACTTTGAACATAGATCCTCAGATCTCAGCCTCCTGCATAGGGAAGGTTACAGGTATCTGCCACCAGCACCCAGCTAAACAGGCTATTTTAGAAAACACGTGGAGAGTGAAGGTTTATATGTTTTCATATTTACAAAGCTTTTCCACACACTTCCATTCAAGCTTTTTTATCTCCTCATTTGTTTATTCATTCACTCATTCTCTTTATGGACTACAGGAACTCGCTATGTAGCCCTGTCTGGCCTTGCACTCACATCTCCCATCTTCAGACCCCAACTCCTGGACTTACAGGTATGCGCCATACCCAGCTCCATCTAAATTTTACTAATGGCTCCTTTTGGAAGCCTGTAGAGTGTAATACACAACTTGTCTAGTAAAAGTCTAAGTTCAGAAGGGGGATATCGATTCTCTTTGCTTTTCAGAGAGGAGGAGGTGAGCATCCTCCAGCCACTCCCACCTTGATCGTCTTCAACGGAAGTACCTGTGGATGCGTTCACCAACACTTCCTCTCCAGCACACCACTTCCTGTAAGCTGTGTCAACGTGGCCATCCTGAATGCTACAACATCTTCTTTTACTTTACTTTTTTAGTTTTTTATATTTTTGTCGATTGTGGGGCTTGAACTCTGGGCCTGCGCGCTGTTCCTGAGCTCCTCACCTCAAGGCGAGCATTCTACCACTTGAGTCACAGCACCATTTCCGTTTTTTTGTTAGTTAACTGGAGATAAGAGTTTGACAGGCTTTCCTGCCCCCGGTGGCTTTGAACTGAGATCCTCAGATCTCAGCCTCCTGAGTAGCTAGGATTTCAGGCATAAGCCACCACCGCCCATCATACTTTTATTTTTAAAGTCAGTACTGGAGCCTGAACTCAGGGCCCAGGCTCTGTCACTTAACTTTTTTGCTTAAGACTAGCACACTACCACTTGAGCCACAGCTCCATTTCCCGCATTTTGATAGTTAATCAGATACGAGTCTTACATACTTTCACACACCTTCCTGCCTAGGTTGGCTTTGAACCTCCATCCTCAGCCCCCTGGGTAGCTAGGATTACAAGCGTGAGCCACCAGGGCCCAGCTACTTTACTTTCAATTACTAAAAAGAAGCTAATGGCATTTAATCTTTTTTTTTTCTTTTATTAGGGTTAATATTTGACATAAAATTGTCATTTCAATCACTGTTAAGAGCACAAGCCAGTGGCATCGGTCAAGCACACAGCACTGCACAGCATCATCACTGCGTGTACACCAAAGTTTTCATCACCCAGTAAACTCTACGTCTGTGTCCTTCTCTCCTAGCTCCTGTGGCTACTCATCTACATTCTGAATCTATGCATTTTCCTGTTCTAGTAAGTGAATCATGTATTTTTTGTTTGTCTATCTGACATAACTCACTTTGCAAAAAGGTTTTCAATTATAGTTTCATTATCTTTAAGCAACTGTATAAAAGAGTTACCAGTCAGCAAAGCAGTTTCTGTAAGTACAATACATCTTGAACAATGCCACCCTTTCTTCATTCTCTCCCATCCAATCCCTACCCTCAACATTCCTAGTTTCATAGGATATATGTTGAATATTCTGAGTACATTCTCCCTCCTTTCTCTCATTTAGTATACAGTTTGAAAGTTTCAACCATGTTGTAAGCATGAATCAGAATTTCATTCTTCTAATGGTTGAACAGTACTCCATGAATGGACATACCATTTTGCTTATCCACTCATCTTTTGTACAGTTGTTTCTCCTTCCTAGTTATTAGAATAAGGCTACAATGAACAATGGCATACAAATACCTGATTCCTGTTTCCAATTTAGGGTAACTATCCTAGGAGTGGCATCGTTGGGTCACATAAGAATTCTAGGTTTATGGGCTGGGAAGGTGGCTCAGTGGTAGAGCGCTTGCCTTACATGCATGAGGCCCTGGGTTCGATTCCTCAGCACCACATAAGCAAAAAGAAAAAAGCCGGAAGTGGCACTGTGGCTCAACTGGTAGAGCACTGGCCTTGAGCTGAAGAGCTGAGGGACAGCGCCCAGGCCCAGAGTTCAGGCCCCACGACTGGACCCAAAAACAAAAAATAAAAAAGAATTCTATGTTTAGGGGCTGGGAAGGTGGCTCAGTGGTACAGCACTTGCCTTGCATGCATGAGGCCCTGGGTTCGATTCCTCAGCACCACATAAGCAAAAAGAAAAAAGCCGGAAGTGGCGCTGTGGCTCAAGTGGTAGAGTGCTAGCCTTGAACTGAAGAGCTGAGGGACAGCGCCCAGGCCCAGAGTTCAGGCCCCACGACCGGCCTCAAAAAAAAAAAAAAAAAAAAAAAAAGAATTCTAGGTTTAAAGTTTTTTTGGTTTTGGTTCTTACTGAGAAAACCCTGGCGTTTTCCACTGAAGTGGCACCATTTTGTTTTTTCTCCAGTAATATAAGACTCATTTCTCCATGTCCTTGTTATCTCCTGATTTTTTTTTTTTCTTGTCATTCATGGGGCCTGAACTCTGGGCCTGGGCGCTGTCCCTCAGCTCTTCAGCTCACGGCTAGCGCTCTACCACTAGAGCCATAGCGCCACTTCCTGCTTTTTCTGCTGATGTGGTGCTGAGGAATCAAACCCAGGGCCTCATGCATGCAAGGCAAGCATTTTACCACTGAGCCACCTTCCCAGCCCACCAATTATGTTCTTGATTTGCATTTCCCTGATGACTAAGAATACTGGGAGTCTTCTTGTGTGTGTTACTGGACATATGTAAATATTGATCAGGAAGATCTGTCCCTGTTTCCATTTAAGAGTTTTACAATTTTAGCTTAGGCCTTTAACACTTTTCTAATTAATTTTATGTAGTATAAAAAAATATATGGGGCTGGGAAGGTGGCTCAGTGGTAGAGTACTTTTGCCTTGTATGCATGAGGCCCTGGGTTGGATTCCTCAGCACCACATAAGCAGAAAAGGCCAGATGTAGCACTTTGGCTCAAGTAGTAGAGTGTTAGCCTTGAGCTGAAGAGCTCAAGGCCTAGAGTTTAAGACCCATGACCAACAAAAAATAGTAATAATAATAATATATATACATGTATACCTTTTGCATGTGGATATCATTCCTTGTAGCATTAATGAAAAGACCATTCTTTTCCCATTGACACCCTTGTCAAAAATCAACTGACTAAACGAGAGCTAACACATTACTACTGAAATATCTAAGTGGGAGAAGTTAAGGCAGGGCAACTCAATGATTTAATCTAGGCCTCATCATACAACTCACAAAAGCAGAAGTCTAGTGAGGCACACTAGCACATACCTGAAACCTCAGCGCTCACAGGCTGAAGCAGGAGCAGCAGGAGTTTGAGGCAAGTCTCATCACCCAGAAACGCCCTAACACACTGCCTCCAAATTCTGACTACACCTTTTTTTTTTAAAAGAACAACAGCTTTGTCAATGTGTAATTTAGGTAACATAGATGCACAGCTCAATGGTTTTTAGAATGTCTGGAGTTATGACTTGATATAATTTTACCAGGTGATCACTGACCCTAAAGGAAATCTTACATTCCTCAGAAGTCGCTTGCCACCACAACTCAACCCTATACAACACTAACTGTATTCTGGACATCTCATGAGAATGAAATAGTATATATGATGTGGTCTTTCATGACCAGCTTCTACATCATACTTTCATGTCCATCTACATAGCATCTATCTATCCTTCATTCCTTCCTCACTGCTGAATAATACTCCACTGAATGGATATACCATGTTTTGTTTATCCACTCATAAACTGATGGATTTGTTTCTACTTTGTAGTTACCACGAGAATGCAGCTGTAGAACATTCACATAGAAGGATGGAAGTGGACATTTGTTCTCATTTCTCCTGGAGACACTCAAGTTTAAGCCCACTGAGCACCAGAGATATGTGAGTATGCACTAAGACCAGGCACAGTAGCTCTGACATGTAACCTAGCTACTCAGGAGACTGAGCTCTGAGGATCCTTCAAAGACCAGCCCAGGCAGCGAAGTCCACGAGACTCTGATCTCCAATTAACCACCAAAGAAGCCAGAAGTGGAGTTGTGACTCAGGTAGCATAGCATTAACCCTGAGCAAGGAGGAGAAATAGGGGCTGGGAAGGTGGCTCAGTGGTAGAGTGCTCGCCTAGCATGCATGAGGCCCTGGGTTCGAGTCCTCAGTACCACATACACAAAAAAAGCCAGAAGGGGTGCTTGGCTCAGGTGGTAAAATGCTAGCCTTGAGCAAAAGAAGCTTAGGGACAGTGCCCAAGCCCTGAGTTCAAGCCCCAGGACTGGCAAAAAAAAAAAGGAGAAATAGTAAAGCCTTTTCTGGAACTCAGAGGAAGATAGAAGCCACAAAGCGATCCCAGGAGCGCAGAGTGGCTGAGAGCCAGGCTGCAGTTTCCATCTTAAGTCATGGAGTCTGTAATTTCACTGCGTAGGTAACAGGCAGGCATTAAACACTCAACCCGGCTAATGAGGCTCCACTCCAGACAGAAGGAAATGTTTCTCCAACCCTGAAGGTCAGTGGCGAGCCAAGCCACGTTCCGTTAGGGATCTCAACACTGGCAGGTGAGACATTTGGAATAAAATATACTCCCAGAAGTGCCAGTTCTGTTGGCCCACTTCGCTGAGAACACATGGGTAAGGAAAGACAAGTAGAAAATGCCACCCATGGAAAAGGAAGCCAGAGCCCCGCCCAGGTTATAAAGGGCGAGGTCCAGGAGAAGAATGTGTAGGTGTGCGTTTGGTAGGGAAGCACAGGAGAGACAAAAGGCGGGACAAGTGTCTCATTGGTACCCCCCTGGCTTGGGAACAAGGAGGCAACAGACTGGGGTGAAGAGGCAGAGTTGTAAAGTCATGGCAGACAGGAATGATCTAGAAGTGAAAGTAGAAAGAAGGAAGTAAAAAAGGCAGAAGGCCTTCCACACAGGCACCCATTCACTTGGCCTTACAGGAGAATCAGAACCTAAGGCTCTGGCAACAGCGGTCCCCAGAACACGAGCGCCACCTGCTGGGGCTCAGGAGGACAGCACAAATGAGGAGAGCCAGCGGGGAATCCCAGCCCCTCGCCTGCCCTCTGCGGGGGAGGGAGGCTCACTGCAACCCAGCCCCCGTCCAGGTTCTGCCGTCTCACCTGGCCCACAGCGGCGCCAATGCTCCCGGTCCCATCCACAATCCCCGTGACAGTGGCCAATGCCTCGCTGCTCCCTTGAATCAGCTCCTGGCGACCTAGGTCTGCAGAAATGGCTGAGCTAATCATGTTAGAAGGTCCACCGATAAAAAACCCTGAAACATACAAACAGAACAGGTGCCTATTAAAACATGATGCTATAATTAACATTAGCAATCTCCTAGATAAGGCAAAAATATCATTGCAGCATTTTAATTAATATGTTGGAGAAAATAAGGAAATTCTTCCAGATAGTATCATCTCCAGACTGATTAGCATCTACTTTGCTGGAATCCCTCTTGAATTATGTGGCACTTTAATAATAGAATCTAAAGAGATAAAAATAGTGAAACAGGAAGCCTTCCTGACTCTCAGGTCTGAGCTCATAAAGACACTCATGAGCAGCGCGTAAAGTTCTACCGTAAGAGCTGCCGTCACCCAAGCCTTTGACCACCCCACTTCAACAACACATTGAAGAAGAGGGGAGACATAAAGGTCACTCTAAACCTGCAGGGTGTCTGCAGGTAGCCCAAGAATCTGGCAGAAACTGGGTCACGTGACTGGAATGGGTGCCAGGTGCCTTGTGGAGCTGAGCAACTCACTCCCTGAGAGGAGCTGAAGGGTTAAAAACAAGTCATTTTTCCACGCTACGATGTCTAATTGGACTCACTGCACCCAGAAACCACGGCCAATTCTAATACAGGAAGAACTAGCTCCCAATGCGGCTTCTTTCCAGATCACTTCCTGAAGTCATACCTGGAACTAGGGCTACAACCAACTCTCCCAATACAGATCGTTTCTGTTACAAGAGGCCAGAGGAGAAAATAAGTAAAACTGGAAAGAGAGGCCCTGCTATCATTTGAGATCTCCATAACTAAGGCCTTAGCATCAGTGTGACAGATGTTTCCAGGCAGCCATACCTGTGGCGGTCATCAGAAGTGCGTTGATGGACTTATCATTCGGAGACCCTGTAAGGAGACAGACACGCTTTGGTGACTTAAAAAGTGGTTGCAAAGACAGACACCAGTGGCTCATGCCTGTAATCCTAACTACTCAGGAAGCTGAGCTCTGAGGATCCAGGTTCAAAGCCAGCCCATGAAGTACATGTGATTCCTATCTCCAATTAACCACAGACATGGAGCTGAGGTGGTAGAGCACTGGCCTTGAGGGAAAAAGCTAAGTGACAGCACCCCAGCTCTGAGTTCAATCCCCAGTACTGGCACAAAAAAAGAAAAAAGAACAGGATACAGGGGTCTGAATGTTTGTGGCCTCACAAATCCCTCCTAGAGACAACAAAGAGAGTCAGAACTCTCTCATTGTCTCTTCCAACTTTATTTGTAATGTCTGTCTCTCACTGAGCTCAAGCTAATGAGACTTGTAAAAGCTAGAAACTCTACACATCTTTAGCACACATACACCAAGCCTACTAATTACCATCTCTCCCCTCCTGAAACCTCACCCCCTTTTATGGTTTTATTGTCTCTTTAATGCTGTCCCTCTGGAGCTACTCCTCAAACAAAGCACATAGACTCCCAAGCCAGCTTTTAAACAAATCCACAAAGTAGAGGAGAGGCCTGTTTCCTCTCTACGCAAATAAAGCCTGGATGACAGCTCCCAGGCATTCCCTCGATGACAAAAGGGTGGCATGTCATGCCTGGCAGCGGGTGGCAGGCTCTCTCTTCCCAGGGCTGATTACAGAGTCTGCGCAAATGCTTGCTCCCAAGAGACAGGAAACAGAAACCAGCTAAGGAATACTTACGGCTATACCCAACCAGGGACCCGATGGCCAGGAGCAGGCTGAGGGCCAGCACGGGTGCTCTCCTCTGCAGCACATCAGAGATGAAGCCTTGAAGAGTTCCTCCTGCAACCCACAGAGTACATGGCAGTCAACAGCAGCTCCCAGGGAGCTGAGCGGCCCCAGGCATGCTCCCCAGGAACCCCCCTCTCCTCTGAAGGACTCAGCCAAAGAGATGACTGCCTCTCCCCCCATCCTCCTTCATCAGTTCTTTCTAGGAAGACACTGTGACATCCCATGATGGCCAGTCAGCAGACTGCAGATCAAAGGATATAGAAAAGAAAAAGGAGATCATTAAAACTACTCACTCTTACTGAGTTTTTTAAAGAAACAAGCTGGGGCCTGACACAGGTGATTCATGCCTGTAATCCTAGCTATTCAGGAGGCTGAAATTTGAGGATCATGGTTCAAAGCTAGCCTGGGCAGGAAAGTCCATGAGACTCTATGTCCAATTGAGGGGAAGAAAAAACAAAAGCCGGAAGTGGAGCACCCAGGCAGGACCCTGGTCCTGAGTTCAAGCCTGAGGAATCACACACACACGCACACATGCACACGCGCGCACACACACACACACACACACACACACACACACGCTGGGGTGCTTCTCCTGAGTTTTCTGCTTTGTAAGAGAGCTTATGAACAAATGTATAAGCTACCAAGAGCAGCCCCCCCCACCCCAAAAAAAATCTCTAAAATAAAAACAACAGAGTTGGGTGCCAGTGGCTCACAACCATAATCCTAGCTACCCAGGAGGCTGAATATCACAGTTCAAAGTCAGCCCAGGCAAGAAAGTCCATGAAACTCTTAGCTCCAATTAACCATGAAAAAACCAGAAGTGGCACTATGGCTCAAAGTGGTAGAGCACTAGCCTTGAGAAAAAAGACTCAGTGACAGTGCCCAGGACCTGAGTTCAAACTCCATACCAAAAAAAAAAAAAAAAAAAAGGCTGGGAATGTGGCTTAGTGGTAGAGTACTTGCCTAGCATGCACAAAGCCCTGGGTTCCATTCCTCAGCACCACATAAACAGAAAAAGCTGGAAGTGGCTCTGAGGCTCAAGTGGTAGAGTGCTAGCCTTGAACACAAGCAGCTCAGGGACAGTGCCCAGGCTCTGAGTACAAGCCCCAGGACTGGCAAAAAAAAAAAAAAATTAAAAAGAAAAAAATTAAATACAATAATGGTTTGGTAATAACTAAGTCTAAGTGGATTTTTTTAATTTTAATTTGTTTTGTGTTTGTTTTATAGTGCTGAGCTTCAAACCCAGGGATCACATGCAAGGCAAGTACTCTACCCATACCATTAAGCTACATCATCAACCCAATTCCTCCTTTCTTTTTTCTCTTTTTTCCTTTCCTTCCTTTCTTTTCCTTCTGTCTTTCCTTTTCCTTCCTTCTTCATCCTTCTTTTTTTTTTTTGGGTCCGGTTGTGGGGCCTGAACTCTGGGCCTGGGCGCTGTCCCTCAGCTCTTCAGCTCAAGGCTAGCGCTCTACCACTTGAGCCACAGCGCCACTTCCGGCTTTTTTCTTTTTGCTTATGTGGTGCTGAGGAATTGAACCCAGGGCCTCAGGCTTGCAAGACAAGCACTCTACCACTGAGCCACCTTCCCAACCCCCTTCATCCTTCTTTCCTTCTTCCCTTTCTTCCTTCTTTCCTTATTTTTCTGCCAGCACTGGGGCTTGAAATCAGGGCCGCCACAGTCTTGGTTGGCGTTTTTGCTTCTGGCTGGCACTCTATCACTTGAGCTATACGGCTAGTCTGGCATTTTTGCTAGTTAATTGGAGGAGATAAGAGTTTACAGTCCAGGCTGGGAAGGTGGCTCAGTGGTAGAGTGCTTGCCTTGCGTGCATGAGGCCCTGGGTTCGATTCCTCAGCACTACATAAGCAGAAAAAGTTGGAAGTGGTGCTGTGGCTCAAGTGGTAGAGTGCTAGCCATGAGCTGAAGAGCTGAGGGACAGCGCCCAGGCCCAGAGTTCAGGCCCTACGACCAGACCCAAAAAAAAAAAAAAAGAGTTTACAGTCCTTTCTGCTAAGGCTGACTTTGACCTTCAATCGTCTGTGTTTCAGCTTCCTGCACAGATAGGATTACAGGCATTGCCACTAGCACCTGACTCCAACCTTTCTTTGGCATCTATGAAATTTTAATTTCCACGGATCGGGGTATGGTTAGGTCTAAACTAACAACATCAACTTTGGCTCTGGACCTAAGAATAAGGGCAGTGACATTCAAATACAGTACCAGTGTATCATGTAAGGTTGTACTGTATACTTTACATGTGCTAGGGAACTTAATCTCACCACAATTCAAAATGCAAACTCATACAGAGTAGCTCTGTGGCTCAAAGTGGTAGAGCACTAGCCTTGAGCTTAAGTTTGGTGCCCAGGGCCTAAGTTAAAGCCCCATCACTGACCAAAAAAAGAAAAGAAAGAAAGAAACAATCAAACAAAACTCTGTTGTATACAACAGCAATTACAAAGTACTCACTTCCAGGACCTCTGACCATCTACCACTGAGGTAGGTTTTTCACTGCCTTAGTTAGCTGGAGGGGGGAGGGGGAGGGAGCGCTCTCCCCAGGGAGAGAGGAAGTACCCAAAATGAACACATTCCCATTCTTCTTGGACCTTTCACACCAGCAGCCTGACAGCCAAATATCATGGGAAGAGCACAAAAGGGTTGCACAAAAGGGTTGCATTTAAGGAGATTGCTAGCTTTCCCAAGACAAAGAACTGATCCATCAACACAGACTAAGAAAAGAGAGCCCATAAATCACAGCCCTGTCTGGTGGATTTTCCTCTCAACAGACTTTTTATTTTTTTAAGGAATTTGGTTGTTTACTGGCAAGGCAGTTTAGGAAAATCTGACTGTGGAGTGAGTAATAAACCTTAAATGAAGTCAGATTTTCTAACCCAGCAAGAGACTACAAGTGACTGAGTCTTTATCACAGACAAAAGTGCACGTTGACCAGGTGTAGTGGCTTATATCTGTAATCCTAGCTTCTCAAGAGGCTGAAATCTGAGAAGTACAGTTCAAAGCCAGCCTGGGCAGCAAAGTCTGAGAGACTTATCTCCAACTAACCACCAAAAAGTGGAAATGGTTCTGTGGCTCAAAGTGATAGAGCACTAGCTTTAACACAAAAGCTCGAGGACAGTTTCCAGACCCTTAGTGGCTGACCCCATGACTGCACAAAAAAAAAAAAAGAAAGAAAGAAAGAAAGAAAAAGGTGTACACAGACATACCTATGATTCCGCCAACATCATACCAGATTGACAACTGGTCAGCCTCTGCTTCTTTCCATCTGAAGTTGTTACTCAGATAAAAGGGCAGCCAGAAGAAGAAGGAGTAATTCACCAGCTTCAGGCAAGCGTAGGCCAATGAGTACTACAAGAAAAACACACAGCTTTCAACAAGATACAGCATGATCACTTGTCTTAGGTAAAGCAAAACACAAGTCTCCTCTTCTCTTTATACCTATTAATATCTACAAAAGTCGTTGGAATAAAAAATACACATGGCTCATATGTATAATATATACTTACATATGTGTGTGTGTGTGTGTGTGTGTGTGTGTGTGTGTGTGTGTGTGTGTGTGTGTGTGTGTAGAATGCATGAATCTCATGGACTTTTCTGCTTGGGCAGGCTCTGAACCACTCTCCTCTGGGTCTCAGCCTCCTGAGTAGCTAGGATTAAAGCATCAGCCCCTGGCACTCATCATTACACATAGCTATTCCTTTTTTTTTTTTTTTTGCCAGTACTGGGGCTTGAACTCAGGGCCTGGGCACTATCCCTGATCCTTTTTTTTGGGGGGGGGGGTCCAGTCATGGGACTTGAACTCTGAGCCTGGGCGCTGTCCCACAGCTCTTCTGCTCAAGGCTAGCTAGCACTCTACCACTTGAGCCACAGCGCCACTTCCGGTTTTTTTCTTTTTTGCTTATGTGGTGCTGAGGAATCAAACCCAGGGCTCATGCATGCAAGGCAAGCTCTACCACTGAGCCACCTTCCCAGCCCCTCCCTGATCCTTTTTGTGCTCAAGGCTAGTATTCTACCACTTGAGTCACAGCATCACTTCTGGCTTTTTCTAAGTAGTTTATTGGAGGTAAGAGTCTCATAGACTTTTCTGCCAGGGCTGGCTTCAAACCATGATCCTCAGACCTCAGCCTCCAGAGTAGCTAGGATTAAAGACATGAGCCACCAGCACCTGGCAACATGGTTATTTCTTTTCCTTTTTTGTCAGTCATGGGGTTTAAACTCTGGGCTTGGGCTCTGTCCCTCATCTCTTCAGCACAAAGCAAGCACTCTACCACTTGAGCCACAGCACCACTTCCGGTTTTCTGGTGGTTTACCGGAGATAAGAGTTTCACGGACTTTTTTGCCTGGGTGGACTTTGAACCATGATCCCCAGATCTCAGCCTCCTGAGTAGCTAAGATTACAGGCGTGACCTACATGTCTGGCTGGCTATTTTTTAAATTACCCCAATTCCTTCTCTCTTCTCAGGTAGAGCAAAATGATATTTGGAACCCAAAAGATCAGGAATATACTCATTATTTCCGTATTCAGACAAAAGTGAGTTTTTCATGACACTAACTGGAATTAGCCACCAGCAAATAAATGTAGCAAACACCCTAGCTTTTGCTGCATGCAAACTTTGTTGATACTCCCTGCAATTTTCATATGGTAAATCATGGAGAGTAATGTTACTCAACCACAGATTCAAAGTTGAAAACAAAAAAGAAGTGGGACTGTGGCTCAAGTGGCAGAGCACCATCCTTAAGAGAAAAAGCTAAGGAACAACAGGGGCTGGTGGCTCCTGCCTGTAATTATAGCTACTCAGGAGGCTGAGATCTGAGGGTGAGGGTCAAGGTTTGAAGCCAGTGCAGGAAAGAAAGTCTAGGAGACTCTTACCTTCAATTTAACCAGAAAACAGCTGGAAAATAAAGGTGGGCACTAGTGATTCATGCCTATAATTCTTGCTACTCAGGAGGCTGAGATTTGTGGATCATGATTCAAAGCCACCAAAACAACCAAAAGTAGAGCTGTGGCTCAAGTGGTAGAGTGTTAGCTTTGATCAAAAAAGCTCAGGGAGGGGCTGGGAAGTTGGCTCAGTGGTAGAGCGCTTGCCTTGCATGCCTGAGGCCCTGGGTTCAATTCCTCAGCACCACATAAGAAAAAAGCTGGAAGTGGTGCTGTGGCTCAAGTGGTGAAGCGCTAGCCTTGAGCTGAATAGCTGAGGGACAGTGCCCAGGCCCCGAGTTCAGGTCCCACGACCGGACCCAAAAAAAAAAAGCTCAGGGAGGGAGGAGGATGGGAAGGGATGGGAAGGAGAAACAAAGGAGGAGGCTACAATGCTTGATAAGAAATGTACTCATTATCTTGCCCATGTAATTATAACCCTCTGTACAGTACTTTCACAATAATTAAGAAAAAAAAAAAAAGCTCAGGAACAGTGCTCAGACTCTAAGTTCAAGCCCTAGAACCAGCATAAAAAAAATAAATAAAGCCGGGCACTGGTGGCTCACGCCTGTAATCCTAGCTACTCAGGAGGCTGAGATCTGAGGATCGCGGTCCAAAGCCAGCCGGGGCAGGAAAGACCGTGAGACTCCTATCTCCAATAAACCACCAGAAAACTGGAAGTGGCGCTGTAGCTCAAATGGTAGAGCGCTCGCCTTGAGCTGAAGAGCTGAGGGACAGCGCCCAGGCCCAGAGTTCAAGCCCCACGACTGACAAAAAAATAAATAAATAAATAAAAATAAAGGCTGGGCACTGATGGCTCACACCTGTAATCTTAGCTACTCAGGAGGCTGAGATCTGAGGATCACAGTTCAAAGCCAGCCCGGGCAGGAAAGTCCATGAGACTCTCCTCTTCAATTAACCACTAGAAAACCAGAAGTGGCACTGTGGCTCAAATGACAGAGTGCTTGCCTTGAGCTGAAGAGCTGAAGGACAGCACCCAAGCCCAGAGTTCAAGCCCCATGAGTGACAAAAATAAATAAAAAATAAAATAAAAATAAATTTTAAAAAAAGAGAGCTGCAAGTGGATCAGTGGCTCAAGTGATAGAGTATAAAATAAAATCTAAGGGCTGGGAAGGTGGCTCAGTGGTAGAGCACTTGTCTTGCATGAATGAGGCCCTGGGTTCGACTCCTCAGCATCACATAAGTTAAAAAAAAAAAAAGCCGGAAGTGGCGCTGTGGCTCAAGTGGTAGAGCGCTAGCCTTGAGCTGAAGAGCTGAGGGACAGTATCCAAGGCCCAGAGTTCAGGCCCCATGACTGGACCCCCCAAAAAATAAATAAAATAAAATAAAATCTAAGAGACAGCACCCATTCCCTGAGTTTCAGCCTCAGTACAGGCACTAGGAAAAAAAAAAGTTTAAAAAACAAGCATCCATATGAGACCTTTCAGATCAGAGTGCCCACACTCGGCGTTCCCCAGTCCGCAGCAGAGCAGAGCATGTCCGGCGGATCAGAACAAAGGAACACAGTCGTCATTGGCCTCTCAGCTCTTTCGAAGGAGGCTGGTTACAGCTGCTCAGAATGGTGGCCGAGCTGGGACACTTACGTGCAACACAGTACTCTTACCAGGAAATCCTGACATTTAGCATCAAAGGACAGACAGGGGGAGAGGCAGAGGGGCTGACTTCAAAGGCTGTCTGCCTAGCATATTCCTGCCGCAGAGCTGGCTGCTATCCCCTGCAGACACGTGTTTTAAATGTGTGCCCCTGGCAGGACAGCAGCCACCCCCTAGAGAGCCAAACCCCAATCACCAGAGCCGGCTGTCCACACAGCCTGCCAGAGACAAAGGAGGAAGCCAAGGAGGTTTCCTTTATGTCCCTGCCCCTGCCTGAGAACAATGGCCTGGGAAGCACAAAAGGCTCACTAGAACAGTTCTGCCTTTACTCACCACAAATTTAAGTTCTGTCTCAACAATCAGACTATTGGTAGCAGAGAATCTGAATAACTGGTTGGAAAGTAATACCTCAGCAGAAGAACAGATCTAAAGAAACCTGAATTTCTAAGGGTTAGAGAAAAGTAGGAAATAACACTGTGTTTTAACATACACTGAACTACCCATTTGAAGTGTTAGTTTTTATAGTTGGAGGGCACAAGCAGAAGCAAAGTGATCAATGTGAAATAAGATGGCACAGACTTGCTGGATGTCAGGGGCTCACCCCTGTAAGCCCAGATACTCAGGAGGCTAAGATCTGAGGCTGAGGTTCACAGTCAGCCAGGGCAGTTAAGTCCAGGGCACTTTTATCTCTAATTAACTACCAAAAACCCAGAAGTGGAGGTGTGGTTCAAGTGGCAGACCACCAACCTTGAGCAAAAAAAGTAATAGACAGGGCTGGGAATGTGGCTTAGTGGTAGAGTGATTGCTGAGCATGCATGAAGCTCTGGGTTCAATTCTTCAGTACTACATAAACAGAAAAGCCAGAAGTGGCACTGTGGCAAAAGTGGTAGAGTGCTAGCCTTGAGCAAAAGAAAGTTCAGGGACAGTGCCTAGGCCCTGAATTCAAGGCCCATGACTAGCGCGCGCGCGCGCACACACACGCACACACACACACACACACACACACACACACACTAGACAACCAGGTGTCAGTGGTTCAAAGCCAGCTTGAGCAGAAAAGTCTGTGAGAGGGCTGGGAAGGTGGCTCAGTGGTAGAGCACTTGCCTTGCATGCTCAAGGCCCTGGGTTCGATTCCTCAGCACCACATAAGAAAAAAGCCGGAAGTGGCGCTGTGGCTCAAGTGGTAGAGTGCTAGCCTTGAGCTGAAGAGCTGAGGGACAGTGCCCAGGCCCAGAGTTCAGGCCCCACGACCGGACCCAAAAAAAAAAAAAAAAAAAAAAAAAGAAAAGTCTGTGAGACTCTCATCTCTAACCCAAAAAGCCAAAAGTAAAGCTGTGGTTCAAATGTTAGGGAGCTAACCTTGAGTTCAGAGTCAGTGGCTAGGCCCAGAGTTTAAGTTCCAGAACTGCCATAAAACAAAAAACAAAAAAATTAAAAAAAAAAAAAAAGCTAAGGGACAGAACCCAGGCCAAATTGAAGCCCCAGTACAAGCACCAAAAAATAAAGATGAGCTGGGTGCAGGTGGCTAACACCTGAAATCCTAGCAACTCAGGAGGCTGAGATCTGAGGATCAAGGTTCAAAGCCAGCCCACGCAGGAAAATCCATGAGACTCTTTTTTTTTTGTAATGTGGCTTGAACTCTGGGCCTGAGTGCTGTCCCTTAGCTCTTCAGCTCAAGGTGAGCACTCTACCGCTTGAGTTATAGCACCACTTCCGGTTTTCTGGTGGTTTACTGAAGATAAAAGTTTCTTGGACTTTCCTGCTTGAGCTAGCTCTGAACTACAATCCTCAGATCTCAGCCTCCTGAGTAACTAGGATTACAGGCATGAGCCACTGGCCTAGCATGAGACTCTTTTCTCCAATAAACTACTCAGGAAAAGCTGGGAGTGGCACTGTGGCTCAAATAGTAGAGTGCTAGGCTTGGCCACAAAGAGGCTTAGGGACAGAGTCCAGGCCCAGAGTTCAAGCCCCACATATTTTTTTTGCCAGTCCTGGGGTTTGAACTGGGCACTATCCCTGGCCTCTTTGTGCTCAAGGCTAGTGCTCTGGGGCGGGGAAAGGTGGCTCAGTGGTAAAGTGCTTGCCTCACGTGCATGAGGCCCTGGGTTCCACACCTCAGCACCATATAAGCAGAAAAAGCCTGAAGTGGCGCTGTGGCTCAAGTGGTAGAGCACTAACCTTGAGCTGAAGAGCTGAGAGACAGCGCCCAGGCCCAGAGACCAGGCCCTACAACCGATTTTAAAAAAAGCTTCCAAATAGCATTTACCCTGGCAACGGTGGCTCACACCTGTCATTCTAGCTACTCAGGAGGCTGAGATCTGAGGATCACGGTTCAAAGCCAACCCCAAGCAGGAAAGTCCATGAGACTCTTATCTCCAATAAAAACCACTAGAAAACCGGAAATGGCACTGTGGCTCAAGCGGTAGAGCGCTTGCCTTGAGCTAAAGAGCGCAGGGACAGAGACCAAGCCCAGAGTTCAAGCCCCACAACCGACCAAAAAAAAAAAAAAAGGCTAGCGCTCTACTTTTTGAGCCACAGTGCCACTCCCAGCTTTTTCTGAGTAGTTTATTGGAGATTAGAGTCTCATAGGCTTTCTTGCCTAGATTGACTTTGAACCATGATCCTTAGATCTCAGCCTCCTGAGTCACTAGGATTATGGGCATGAACCACTGGCACCTGGCTGTGAGACTCTTACCTCCAATAAGCCACTCAGAAAACTGGAAGTGGCACTGTGGCTCAAGTGGTAGAGTGCTAGCCTTGTGCTGAAGAGCTGAGGGACAGTGCCCAGGCGCAGAGTTCAAGTCCCATGATCCACAAAAAACAAGTCAGTTTTGCTTTGTTGGCTGTCTGCTGGATCAGGCTGGGTCAGTACACCAGGGCTCCTGGGTCAAGCTTGACCACACCCATCTGTCCCACAGTGCCTTGGCTCTCTCTCATGCTGTAGACAGTACAGCTCCCCTAAAGATGAAACCATTTACTCTCTGTCACTTTGGCAAAAGGGGCTGTTGATCTGAACCAGCTATGAGGTAAGCTGAGGGACTCCACAGAGCATTCTTCGGCTAGGTCCCAAAAATTAAAGCAGCTCTACCTCAGGCACAGTACTCCCAGAAACCAGGATCCCTCCCTGGTGGGGAAGACTGCAGTCCTTACCGGTATGACTCCAGGAAGGCAGCAAGCCTGGTGAAAGCCTATTGCCTTCACTTGAGTAACAGGGTTGTCCTCCTGGACTGAGTAATTTGGCTCATATTCATCTTCATTCTCAGCATCATTGATTAGTGGCCTGTGTGAATCTTCAAAGTTTCCTTCTGCCTCCAGACCCGTGAGACCTAAAACAACAGTAACAGCTACCAGTTATAGAGTGCCCACTGTGTGCCCGCCTTTACATAGTGCCTACTGTGTGCCGGCAACTACAGAGTGCCAGTGGGCAATCTATGTGACTGCATTGTGCTAAGGGCTTTGCATGTATCACAGATTATGGAATCAGTATTATTTCTATGGCTATTTTGCAGAAAAAGCAACTGAAGTTCAGAAACCAATGTCAACTAAGGCCAATGAAGGTCACATGGCCTGCTTATTTCCACTCCAAGGATGGGGCTTCTGCGGCTTCATCTGTATATATTCTGTATTTAATCATAAGTAACTATCAAACTGAATCACTTCGAGGAAGGAAAAGAAATCAGTCTCAAGATGTGAAATAAATACAGCCATGCTTGAAGTCGTTTATTTACATGTATGAAAACAGAACAATGATACCCACAGAAACTGTCTTAAGAAAGAGTAACAGAGGAAGCGAGTTTGATGGGGATACATTGTGCTCGTGGAAATGTCACAGTTAAATTTCTCTTATACAATTAATGTAATTTTGTTGTTGGTGGTGGTAGTGGGGCTTAAACCCTGGGCCTAGGCACTGTCCCTCAGCTCTTCAGCTCAAGGCAAATACTCTACCACTTGAGCCACAGAGCCACTTCCTGTTTTCTGGTGGTTAATTGGAAATAAGAGTTTCACAGACTTCCTGCCCGGGCTGGCTTTGAATCGTGATCCTCAGAGATCAGCCTCCTGAGTAGTTAGGCTTACATGCGTGAGCCATCAGTCCTGGCTATTTTAAGTAATTTTAAAAATACATTCAAAAACCGGGTGCAGGTGGCTCAGGCCTATAATCCTAGCTACTCAGGAGGCTGAGATCTGAGGATCACAGTTCAAAGCCAGCCCAGGCAGGAAAGTAGTCTGTGAGACACTGATCTCCAATTAACCACCAGAAAACTGGAAGTAGTACTGTGGCTCAAGTGGTAGAGCCTTGAGCTGAAGAGCTCAGGAAGAGTACCAAGGCCCAGAGTTCAAGCCCCAGGACCGACCAAAACAAAAACAAAACAAAGCAAAAAAAAAACATTCATACTAATTGTTAGTCAGTGTCCCAACTATAAAAATCATTAAGCCACGGGCTGGGAAGGTGGCTCAGTGGTAGAGCGCTTGCCTTGCATGCATGAGGCCCTGGGTTTGATTCCTCAGCACCACATAAGCAAAAAGAAAAAAGCCGGAAGTGGCGCTGTGGCTCAAGTGGTAGAGCACTAGCCTTGAGCTGAAGAGCGAGGGACAGCGCCCAGGCCCAGAGTTCAGGACCCTCGACCGGACCCAAAAAAGAAAAAAAAAAATCATTAAGCCATGAGCTCTTAACTACTCAGAAGGCTGAGGTCTGAGAACTACTGTTCAGAACCAGCTTGGGCAAACAGATCTGAGGTATTATCTCCAAATAACCAGCAAACAGCTGTAGTCCTAACTATTCAGAAGGCTGTGGTCTGGGGATCAAAGTTCAAAGCTAGCCCTGGCAGGAAAGTCTGTGAGATTCTTTTTTTTTTTTTTTTTTGGTCCGGTCGTGGGGCCTGAACTCTGGGCCTGGGCGCTGTCCCTCAGCTCTTCCCCTCAAGGCTAGCGCTTTACCACTTGAGCCACAGCGCCACTTCTGGCTTTTTTCTTTTTGCTTACGTGGTGATAAGAAATCGAACCCAGGGCCTCAGGCATGCAAGGCAAGCGCTCTACCACTGAGCCACCTTCTCAGCCCCAGTCTGTGAGATTCTTATCTCCAATAAACCACCAAAAAGCCAGAAGTGGAGCTGCAGCTCAAATGGGAGAGTGCTAGCCTTGAGCAAAAAAAGCTTAGGGACAGTGTCTAGACCCTGTGTTCAAGACCCGGGACCAGCAGACACACACACAAAAGCTTGAAATGGAAGCATGGCTCAAGAGGTGGCGTGCCAGCCAGGAAAGTAAAAAAACTGCAAAATTGGCTTCCCTCAACACTGCAGTGATCCCAGGCTTAGCTCCAAGGCAACAGGGCTCCTTTAATTCACTAAAGTGGCACAGAAATTTTCCTAAGAGCCAGGTGGCTCATGCCTGTAATCCTAACTACTCAGCAGGATGAGATCTGAGGATTACAGTTCAAAGCCATCCTGGGCAGGAAATTCCATGAGACTATCTCCAACTAACTACCAACAAACCGGAAGCGGAGCTGTGGCTCAAAGTGGTAAAGTACTAGCCTTGAGTGAGAGCTCAGGGACAGTGCCCAGACCCTGAGTTTAAGCCCCACAACCAACCAATTTTTTTTTTCCTAAGAGGGATCCCATTTCCTGGCCCTTTCCTCAACTTCCCTTGGGCCCAAGCAGTTTGACACTTCAAATGGAAGAGACAGCTTCTCACCAATTTCCTCTGGTGACACTAGGAGTCCAAAGAAGATGGCGATCCCACCAGCGAACTGCACAGACGCGGTCACCAGAAAGGCATACTGGAGGGGAGAGGGAGGTGGCTCTTAAACACGTAGTCAGCACAGCACATTCAGTACAGGGCGAGGGGCAACAGAGAGGACGGAGAGGGACACTGGGGAGAACTCAGGAAGGCAGGCATCCATGCCAAGCACTATGTCAACTGCTTCACTGTGACTTTCCTTTTCATGTTCTGGCCTGTGAGGCTCAGAGAAGGTCATCAGGATGCCATGGATACCAAGTGACACTGTCCCAAATCTCATTCTGCCCACCACCAGCCTCATACCAAAGACAGGCTCTACCCTCAGAAATGCTATATCCCTCTAGAATGAAACCATACCCCAAATACGAGCCCATGAGAAGGCCTAGACCCATTTAGAAACACAGCAATTCAGGAGGAGGAAAGAGGCCAAGCATTGGTGGCTCACACCTGTAAACCTAGATAATAGGAAGGGTGAGATCTGAGGATCATGGTTCAAAGTTAGCCTGGGCAGATAAATTCTAGAGACTGTTATCTCCAATTAACCAGCAAAAAAGCTAAAAGTGCAGGTGCCAGTGGCTCACGCCGGTCATCCTAGCTACTCAGGAGGCTGAGATCTGAGGATTACGGTTCAAAGCCAGCCCAGGCAGGAAAGTCCGTGAGACTCTTATCTCCAATAAACCACCAGAAAACTGGAAGTGGCTCTGTAGCTCAAGTGGTAGAGTGCTCACCTTGAGCTGAAGAGCTGAGGGACAGTACCCAGGCCCAGAGTTCAAGCCCCATGTCCAACAAAAAAAAGCTAAAAGTGAGCCATGCACTGGTGACTCACACCTGTAATTCTAGCTACACAAGAGGCTGAGATCTGAGGATCGCAGGAAAGTCATCAAGACTCTTCTCTCCAATTAATCACCCAAAAATCAGAAGTAGAGCTGTGTCTCAAGTGGTAGAGAAAAAAAAAAACTTAGGGATAGTGCCCAGGCCCTGATACACATACACACACACACACACACACACACACACACGCACGCACGCACGCAAGGAAGAAATAGCTAAAAGAAGGTGAAGACAGCTAGAAGTTGAGAGAACAGAAAATCACAGCAACTTCCCATGCTGGCAGAGACAAGGCAGCAAAGGTGGGTGGGAATGGGTAGGAAGGCCTGTGCATGGCTAGAGGAGAGATCCTCCGCTCGGGGCAACTAGAGGAGAAACTGACATGGGAAGTTGGCATGAAGACCAAAGACCCTCCACTGCCAGGCTTCGAGTCTGACTTGTAGTTTACAGGCAACAGGGCCCAAGGGGCACAGGCAGGCCATTTTGAAACCAGTGAATGACAAAACAAACGCAGAAGTCAAAGCTGGAGGCAGCACTAGAGTGAAGTGAGATTTACATCTGAACCAGTTATAATATCCAGCTAGGCTAGTGAGCAATCTACAGTACAGAGGACTGATAAAACATCATCAAACTCTTGAGGAGCTGTTTGAAATTGCATCTGCTTTCCAGATGAGCAATTTACTTTTAATTATTCGGATTTCTGAGCAGGCAATGATTCAAGAACAAAGCCTAGAATAGTCTAGAATGAAAATTCTCCCTCCCACCCCTTCCCAGCCCACACAATTCTCCCAATTGCCACAACATACAAGCACCACTGACATTTAATTTCTACTGTCCAGTTTGGTTAAGAAACCGCCAGGCATAGTAACTTATTACTTGTAATCTTGGTTACACGAGAAGCAGAGATTGGGAAAATCATGGTTTGAGGAGTGGCCGGGCAAGAAGTTTGAGTCCTCAGCTAACCAATAACCTGACAGCACATGGTTGTCATCCCAGCTATGTGGGACGTGTAAAAGAGGATGGCGGTCCAGGCCTGATGGGCATCAATGTGAGGCCCTATCAGAAAAATACTAACGCAAAATTGGCTAGGGCAAGACTCTTGTAGTAGAGCATCTGCCTTGCAAGAACAAGACTTGTGAGTTCAAATTTGAATAAAGCCCCCCAAAAGAAAGATATCAACTCATATAAATTTATACTCATCCATATAATTCAATGCACACTGCTCTGCACACTTGCTGTGTCTGAGCTCTCCCCAATGTGCAGTCTTTACCCTTCACAGAGCTCTTAATTCTTAATTCTACCAAATGAGTTGTTTTTCTTTTTTTGTGCAAGGACTGGGGTTTGAATTCAGGGCCTAGGCCACTGAATTCAAGGCTAGCACTCTAATAGTTGAGCCACAACTCCACTTTCAGCTTTCTGCTGGTAATCAGAGTTAAAAGTCTCACAGATTTTGTTCAGACTAGCTTCCAACCATGATCCTCAGATTTCAGCCTCCTGAGCAGCTGGGATGACAGGCATGATTCTGTTTTCAATCTTTGGCTGTTACAATGTTGCAATGTCCTTGTACAACTATCACCTTGTACTGCTAAGTAAGCACCTACACCTGATTAACTCCTGCCCATAGAATGTTTGGTTGTAGCAGGTGTAACTTGGACAAATATTGCCAATGGACCCTAGATGGATTATGTAGTCTACTAGGAGGAATGTCTATTGTTCTCCAACTAATGAAGGCAACAGATTAGCAACATTTTAGATGTAACCAATCTAACAAGTATACAATGTAGATTTTTCTTTGTTTCTTTTTAGGTTACAGCTGCAATCTGATTTTTCTACTGACAAATACCTGAGCTTCACTAAGCCAGAAACGCTCACCTCTTCTGGCCAGTGCTATAGACACACAGAAAAGGTTTTGAACATTCCTTGGGTGAGGCAGGCGCCAATGGCTCATGCCTGTAATCCTAGCTACTCAAGAGGCTGAGATCTGAGGATCACGGTTCAAAGCCAGCCTGGACATGAAAAGTCCATGAGACTCTCTTATCTCCAATGTTAACCACCAGAAAACTCAAAGTGGCTCTGTGGCTCAAGTGTAAAGTGCTAGCCTTGAGCTGAAGAGTTCAAGCCCCACGACTGACAAAAAAAAGGTTATTATAAAGATGATGTACAGAGGGTTGCAAACACTTTTTCTCAGTTGGTTGTAGGTCTTTGTATTCTTGTTAGTAGTAAGGTTTTTGTTATGCTTCATTTTTATGTGTTTGAATTTAGAGAAGTTTTTCTATTCTTAATGTAAGTATTAAGCCTGGTCCTACACAAACATAGCGCTATGTCTTTTTTTTTTTTCTTTTTGCAGAGGTGAGGCCCAAACTCAGGGCTTGTACTTGCCAGGCAAGTACTCTTCCACAGAACTAAATCCCCAACCCCATCAATGTTGTTTTTAATTACTTCATCCTTTTATTTTTTTGGCAGTACTGGCTTTGAACTCAGGGCTTCACATTTGCTTGGTTTGCTAACTCAGCTAGCACTCTACCATTTGAGCCATACCTCCAGTATAGAATTACTTCATCGTGCCGGGCACTGGTGGCTCATGCCTGTAATCCTAGCTACTCAGGAAGCTGAGATCTGAGAATCATGGTTCAAAGCTAGCCGGGGCAGGAATGTCCATGAGACCCTTACCTCCAAAAAACTACTAAGAAAAAGGCAGAGGTGATACTGTGGCTCAAGGGGTAGTGCACTAGCCTTGAGCAAAATAAGCTCAGGGACAGCACCCAGGCCCCCAGTTCAAGCCCCAAGACCAGAAAAAAAAAATCATACACATTACACAACACATACACATACACACACACACACACACACACACACACACACACACACACAAAGTTGGAGAGAAATACCCACCTCATATCCATACTGCAGAACAGATGATGCTAGGCATGCTCCCAAAATATTGCCCACTGAGGCACAGGCACTCCAGAGACCAAAAACGACACCCCGGCTAAAGACAGCAGTGGGAGACAGAGGATGACATCATCAAAAGGAATTGTATGCGCAATCCAAAACAGTAAAAATCCACATGACAAAGAATAAAACATCCCAATTCAAAGCTTTGAAAAACACCAAAATGCTCTTAGGTGTCTTCTGAGATTGTATGATATGAAAGTTCAGTTTAGGGGGCTGGGAAGGTGGCTCAGTGGGAGAGTGCTTGCCTTGCATGCATGAGGCCCTGGGTTCGATTCCTCAGCACGACATAAGCAGAAAAAGCTGGAAGTGGTGCTATGGCTCAAGTGGTAGAGCGCTAGCCTTGAGCTGAAGAGCTGAGGGACAGCGCCTAGGCCCAGAGTTTAGGCCCCATGACCGGCAAAAAAAAAAAAAAAGAAAGAAAGAAAGTTCAATTTAGGGGTGCGGGTAAGCTGAGTGGAACAGAGCTCTCCTTGCTAGCCCAAGGCCCTGACTTCATTCTAGGGCAGGTAGAAGAAAAAGGATTCAAGAAAAGTTCATTTTTTTAAAGTCTGAATTTATATATTGTTCTATTTGATATATTTACTAATTCACAGGGCTGGGGGGTTGCGGGCTTTGGGGGGGGGGGTTCTTTTGTTTGTTTTTTAGCTCTTTCAACATTTTTGTATCTCACTAGGAGGAACTTCAGAAATGAACAGGAAGACTACACATTGAGAAATGTTTGTGTGGAAGGCTGAGGTCTGCCACTTCCAGTTGTGTAATCACACCCACATTGCCAGCCAAGCCCAGGACTCTCATCTGTGGGAAGCTGTGCTCCATAAAGGACTGGGCCATAATGCACAACTGTGGTGGAAGGCCTCGATGCTGTGCAGGTGGAAGCCACTGTCCTCCATTAGAATTTGTTTAAAAGCCAAGAGCAGCAACATAACTCAAAGTATGGGCTTGGGCTGTTTAGGGGCAGTGGCCTCCCTTGGTGATCACTTCAGTTTGAGAGTCTCTCAGTATGTCTCTAGTTCTAGAATGCCCCAATATCATACAAATAATAAAATCCATAAAGAGAGTCACACAGAGCTGGGTGCCAGTGGCTCAGGCCTATAATCCTAACTACTCAGAAGGTTGAGATCTGAGGACTGTGGTTCGAAGTCAGCCCAGGTAGACAAATCTGAGATTTTTTATCTCTAACTACCAAGAAGCTGAAAGTAGAACTGTGGCTCAAGTCATAGAGCATCAGTCCTCCTGAGCAAAAAAGTTAAGGAACAGTATCCAGGCCCTGAGTTCAAGCCCCAGTACTGGCACAAAAACAAAGTAATAAATAAAATACTACAGCCTTGGCCTGGTTGCATAATTCAAGTACACTTGTCTAGCAAGTAGGAGGTCTGAATTCATATATAATATTCACATGCATACAGCACATATGCACTATATGAACATACATGTACATGTGTGTATGTGTACACACATATACGCACATGACAGGTAGGTGTGGGGCCACATGCTGGCAATCACAGCTACTGAGAAGGCAAGCTTCAAGCTTGAGGACAATGTAGCAAGACCCTATCTCAAATAAAACAGTGTTGTTTAAATAAAACAAATAAAAACAGGTCTGGGTATACATGTAGCTCAGTGGTAGAACACTGCCTAGTCTGCCTGAGCGTCTGTGTACAAATTGCCAGTATTACAAAAAGAAAAAAAATGTATTTCCATAGGAAACTGAAGTATCCTAGGGGAATGTTTTACAGCGCATTTCTGTTAATCCAGGGACGCCAGCGTGGGAAGGAAGCAGAAATCACTAGCAGACTGACATATAATCAAAGCGTTCCTAAGTGGTGCTTATTCTAACCACAGCCATTTTATAGGTAAACTTTCACATTGTTACAGATCGTTGAGGATCAAGGTAACCCCCACTGTGGAAGCGGGCAAGCTGGAAAGCTTAGAAACAGCCAGAGCACAGCTCAGCCACAGCAGCGGGTAAGGGCCGTGGCTGACTCTGGCCACCGTGTAAAAGAGCAAATATCCAAAAAGACACAGGACCACTCAGAAGCGATTGTGCATCTGACAACATGGAAATATGGAGCCTGGAAAAATGATAAAATCTCAATTAACAATGTTCCCAAAATGGGAATATCACTGACAATGATAAATCATAAAGCAAGTCTGGCTGTCCACTTATGTCCCATGATAGGAATTCAGCACCACTTCCTGAAGACCTGGAGCAGACGCACAGCTTCGTCCTGCAGCCTGCGCCACACACCCAAAGTCAAACATAACCTAACAACGCTGTGAAGGTGGGGGAGGGGGTGGGGATCAATCTAACCTTGCTTCATCTGAATCTTACCAGAGCCACTGCCATGTGTCCTAGAGTAAGTCACAAGGCTAACTTGTGGTTCCGTCTCCTCATGCTTAATTTAAGACTAGACTAGATCAACAAGTCCCAGTGATCAAGTGCAAGGAAGACAAATCTTACAGAAATACACAGGGGAATAGCAGGTGGGACTGGTATAATCTCCAAAGGAAAAGATGAATTTTAAAAGCACAAACTGAGCCAGGCTGTGGTGGCTCATGCCTGTAATCTCTACTCAGAAGGCTGAGATCTGAGGACTGAGGTTCAAAGACAGCCTGGCCGGGAAAGTCTGAGATTCTTGTTTCTTGTCTGTTGTAGGACTTGAACTCAAGGCCTGGACACTGTCCCTGAGCTTTTTTGCTCAGGGTTAGCACTCTACCACTCTGAGTGATGTTGCCATTTCTGCTTTTCTGATAGTTAATTGGACAAAAGAGTCTCACGGACTTTCCTGCCAAGGCTGGTTTTAACTCTGATCCTCAGATCTCAGCCTCTTCAGTAGCTAGAATTATAGGTATGAGCCACCAGTGCCTGACTGTTAAGACTCTTACATCACCAATTAACCAGCAAAAAAGCTGGAAGTAGGGACTGGGAATGTAGCTTAGTGGTAGAGTGCTTGCCAAGCATGCATGAAGCCATGGGTTCCATTCCTCAGTACCACATAAACAGAAAAGGCCAGTAGTACTGTGGCTCAAGTGGTAGAATGTTAGCCTTGAGCAAAAAACACTCAGAGACAGTGCCCAGGCCCTGAGTTCAAGCCCCAGGACAGGCAAAAAAAAAAAAAAAAAAAGCTGGAAGTGGAGCTGTGGCTCAAGTGATAGAGTACAAGCCTTGAGGAAAAAAAAGAGACGGGTTGGAGGCATGGCTCAGATGGTAGAGCGTCAGTCAATGAGCAAAAGCTTCAGATACTGAATTTGAGTCCCAGTATCAGGCAAAAAATAAAATAAAACAACAAGGGACAGCATCTAGGCTCTGAGTTCAAACCCCAGTATCAACACAAAGAAAAATAAATATCATTTAACATAATAAGTTAGTTAAAGGAATGATGTGGACAGTGTCTAAAGCATCAAGTTATTTGACAAGGCTGAGCAATCCAACAAAACCCGTAAGGACGGCAATCAAAGAAGAGGAAGTGGCATACCCAGCTTTGCCAAACCAGTTGCCCATCACAGCCACCACACAGGGCCAGCCCGTGGACTGCAGCAGGCCGTTCACAATCCACAGGCAGCAGTAGAACCATTTGTTGTAGAAGTGCAGCCATTCTGTGAGGGTGCCAAACACAAACACCTTCGAAGGAGGGAAAGGAAAAAGGACACATGATGTCCACATGCACACTTCAGAACACAGCACTTCCTGCCAGACTACACAGAGGACACACTCCTAGCACCTGAGTCAGGAAGAGCTGACTATTAAAGCACTTGGGCTCAAAGCTGGCACAAGGAGACAAGCCACCAGGTCATCACCTACCAGAGAAGCAAAGATGCCAAATGACTAAGTCATTGTGTTACCATCCTCCCTATCTGTATCTTCAGTTGTAAGAAATTGCCAGGCTCTAGTGGCTCATGTCAATAATCCTAGCTACTCAGAAGGCTGAGATCTGAGGATCATGGTCTGAAGCTAGTATGATCAAGAAAGTCCATGAGACTTATCTCCAATTAACCCCAAAAGATCAGGAAGCAGAGCTATGGCTCTAGTGGGTAGAATGAACCTTGAACAAAAAGCTCAGTGACAGCACTCAGGCCTTGAGTTCAAGCCCCAGGACAAATACAACAATGACAACAGGGCTGGGAAGTTGGCTCAGTGGTAGAGCGCTTGCCTTGCATGCATGAGGCCCTGGGTTCGATTCCTCAGCACCACATAAACAGAAAAAAAAGTGTAGCGCTGTGGCTCAAGTGGTAGAGTGCTAGCCTTGAGTTGAAGAGCTGAGAGACAGTGCCCAGGCCCAGAGTTCAGGCCCCACAACTGGACCAAAAAAAAAACAATGACAACAACAACAACAACAAAAAATTGTTGAGAAGTTGAGGTCTCATTTTCTATCTACTTCCATGTGCTCCTTGGACTTGGTGGGGTGGCAGTCTCTAGAGGACCACAAGCACCACACGAATGCACTATGTACTTTCACCCAGGACAGAGCAAGGCTGCATGAGTGAACTTGTCTAACTTGTCTTGTGATCAATCATTTAGTAGCTCTCACTAAGCACCTGCTCTTTTCAGGCATTTTGCTCAAGGGGATGTTTTATTTGCAATCAAAGTCTATTTTTGAAATACTGTCAGGCTGGGTGCCAGTGGTTTATGCCTGTAATCCTGGCTACTCAAGAGGCTGAGATCTGAGGATCGTGGTTCAAAGCCAGCCCAGGCAGGAAAGTCCACAAGACTCTTATTTCCAGTAAACAACCAGAAAACCCAAAGTGGCACTGTGGCTCAAAGTGATAGAGTACTAGCCAAAGAGCTCAGGTACAGTGCCCAGGCCCTGAGTTCAAGCCCTGTGACCAAAAATAATAATAATAATAATACTGTCAGAAGTCAGGTGCTGGTGGCTCAAACCTGTAATCTTAGCACTCAAAGAAAGCTGATTATGGTTCAAAGCCACCCTGGGCAGGGAAATCTGTGAGCCTCTCATCTCCAATTAATCAGCAAAAAGCCAGATGTGGACCTGTGGCTCTAATGGTAGAGCACTAGCCTTGAGGGAAAGTTCATGGCCCTGAGTTTAAGCCCCTGTACCAGCATAAAACAAATCCCAAAGGGTAAGCATACAGATTTAAAAATAGTATTAAATGCACATAGGTGAGTAGATTGGGAACAAAGTGTTTCAGACCCTAAGATTTCAAGGGAAAAATGTTTTTCCTCATTCAACTGGTAGATACTGAATAAAACACAATACATTAGGGTACCAACTAAACTGCGGCTTGAATCCATCAACAAAAATTTCCATGATTTGCTTTTAAGCAATAAAGATGAATCTAATATGGGAATGCCTTTCACAATATCTAATGTGCTTGATGCTGTTCCAAATGCTCCACCTTCAGACACCCACAACCCCCAGCAAACCAGGAGCAGGAATATGCATGACATGCTTTCAATAAAAGAGGCTGGAACACAGGGAATCAACAGGCAGGGAACCACAGAAGATGGGCAGAAATGCAGGCCGGCTCCATTGAGGGAATCTGTGATCTTAACCACTAGGCAACCCAGTCCTTAGGGAAAGCAAGACTGACACAGAAATAACAAGGCTGGACAGCAGATGACTGCAAAAGCTTCAGAGAAACAGAAACATGAGGTGACAAGTGATTACTTCTGGGAGTGAGGTGGGGAAAGGCAGGCCTTGGAAAGAGTTATATGGCCAAGACTTGAAGAAGATCCTGAGTTAGACTATGGGGAGGTGAAAGGAACCATTCAAGGTAGAAAGGACAGGAACAAGAACACTAAGGGTGAAAGGAGTGAAAGGCAGAAAGTAGCAAAAGCAAAGCGGGTGAAGCAAATAAAATTGGACAGATAAGTAGGGCTGAGTTCCAAACACTACTCTTTATTTAGTCAAGGCCCTGATTAGATTCTTCCTGACAGCTGTGGCTTGCATCTGTAATCTCAGCTACTCAGAAGGCAGAGATCCAGAGGATGGTGGTTTGAGGTCATACCAGGCAAAAAAAAAAACAGCAAGAATCCATCCTCCACATACAAACTGAGCATGTGGTCCAACACCAGGACCCTATCACAAAAAAATAACTAAGGCAAGCTGGGTGCTAGTGGCTCAGACCTGTAATCCTAGCTACCTAGGAGGCTGAGATCGAAGGATCCTGGTTTGAAGCCAGCTAGGACAGGAAAGTCCATGAGACTTTTATCTCCAATTAACCAGCAAAAAGCCAGGAGTGGTTCAAGTGATAAAGCACCAGCCTTGAGTGAAAAAGCTAAGAGTTCAAGTCCCAGTACCAGAACAAACACACACATATACAAAAAGCCCTAAGAGGCTTGGAGGTATGGCTCAAGTGGTATAATACCATTGAAAAAAGGCTTATGAACAAACTAAAACTATCTTACAAATAAAATATAAATGAATGAAAAGCATCGAGGTATTAGGACACTGAAGAGAGAAACCTCCTCATTCTTCTATAGAAGGATTGATATCATTATTCTACTCTACATGGTGACGTATACACTTTCTGACCAAAAGAGTAAGGATTATTACGATTATGAAATCTTTCTATTACGATTATGAAATCTTTCCAACTTACCACTAATGCAGACGAGCACATGCCAAAAGATAGAACCCATCGTAAATTCAGCCGATCCCCAATGATGCCACTGATGAAGAGGCCCTAAAAATGAAGCATTTCATTTTACAGCTCTACATAGCAACACCGTCCAAAGAGGTAACATGCACTGTAAAGTAAACAAGGCAAAGGGTACACTGAGGAGACTGACACCTAAAGCCCCACATCCTAGTAGAATCCTGTGTGGGCTCTACATGCTACCTGCAAACCTTTATGACACAACATTGCACTTCAGGCAACCCTGGTTTTACTTGATTCCCTAACTGAAAATAAATGAGCACCCAAATATATGTCATGTAATGAATTTCTAAGCTTTGCTGAGGAATACCTTAGCCATGTGCAGCTCAGTTCAGAAGCATTCCCATAAGTTCTGCAGCCTCGTGAGACATGGGGCAGATGCTACACAGTGCACTCACTGCCTGCTAATCTGTCCCTGGTTTTCATGACATCATGAGGCAGGAGAGAGCGTAGGAAGGGACAATGGCAGGCAGCTGAAGATAAGCACCAGTGTCTACCATCCGCTTTCCTCCCACTGCATGACAGGAATAGAAAGGCTGCGATCAGAGTGGAAGGGAAACTGAAGAGCCTCAGGGCAACCCTTATCAGGCCTGTGCCCACAAAAACATGAAACAAAGCTGGAAGCTGGTGGCTGCAATCTAAGGATCAAAGTTCAAAGCCAGCCCTGCCAGGAAAGTCTGTGAGACTCTTATCTCCAATAGACTGCCAAAAAAGCAGGAAGTACAGCTGTGGTGTGAGTGGTAGAAGGCTAACCTTGAGCAAAAGAAACTCAGGAACAGTGCCCATGCCCTGAGTTCAAACCCCGGGACAGGCACAAAAATAAAAATAAAAGTCTTTACCTCAAGCCTAAATTTACATAGAACTAATTGTCTATCACGATGATTAGAGAAAACATGGATACTGTTTTCTCATATATTGTCAGGTTTTTGTTTCTTCAAAGAGAAGCACACAAGCTCAAAGAAAATTCAAATATTCAACAGTTCAATGTTCAGGTGGTCTCTGCTGTATATACTAAAGGAGAGGAAGAAAATCTCCCAATCCACAGGAAGCAACCCACACCCAAGTTACAGAAGGAAGCAGCTCAATGTGCATTACCAGGCTGACGGTTGTTTGGGGAGACAGCACACAGTACATGCCTAACAGGTGGGAGACCCTAGGTTTGATCCTCAGCATTGCAAAAACAGACTACCATACTGTAATATTCTAGAACTTACCACGGCATAAGAAAAGAGGAAAATAGTATCCAGCGTTCCGAGGAAAAGAGTGGCTTCCTCTGTATTGGGAAACAAATGGTTGGTGCTCCAAATCTGCAGGAACACAAGAACATGTCACTCCTGCTGGGATCTGTCCTGGCTTCGCTGTTCTCAGTGCCTGATAACCACCTACATCTATCCCAGCTCCCCAGAACAAACACCAGCACTGGTAAAATCAACAAGTCAGTAATATGGTAAGTTACCCAACCGCAGTGTACCCAAGGTCTGAGGTTATGTGTACAAAAATTCCAGTCTTCCAAGAGACCAGAGTGGTCAGTCTAGCTTTCTAGGCAGGCTCTTTACCATTTGAACTATGCCCTCAACTCTTTTTGCCTTAGTTATTTGGGGAAAAGATCTCATGTTTATGTCTGGGAAAGTTTAGAGTGATCCTAATTCAATTACTGAAATAACTGTATATACAGCAGAGACCACCTAAACATTAAACTGTATAGCTCGGGGGGGGGGGGGGGGCAGCAAAAGCTGGACTTTAAAAAATGCAAAGCTTGGGCTGGGAAGGTGGCTCAGCGGTAGAGTGCTTGCCCCTCAAGCATGAGGCCCTGGGTTCAATTCCTCAACACCACATAAACAGAAAAGGCCAGAAGTGGCACTGTGGCTCAAGTGGTAGAGTGCTGGCCTTGAGCTGAAGAGCTCAGGGACAGTTCCCAGACCCAGAGTTCAAGCCTCCTGACAAAAAAAAAAAAAAAGTAAAGTTAGATGCCAGTGGCTCACACCTGTAATCCTAGATACTAAGGGGGCTGAGATTGTGGTTTGAAACCAGCCCAGGCAGGAACGTCTGTGCGACTCTTATCTCCAACTAATCACAGAAAAGGCCAGAATGATGCTGTGGCTCAGGCAGTAGAGTGAGTGCTAGCTAGCCTTGAGCAAAAAAGGAGCTCAGGGACAGTGCCCAAGCCCACAGTTCCAGTTCTAAGACTGGCAAAAAAAAAAGTAAAAGTCATGGAAGACAGCATTAGCTCTCCATAAAGGTAGGTTTGCAAAGAAATACAGAGCTCTTCAGGGTAGTTTGGAACTTAATATCTATACAACTACCAAAAGAACTAGAAAATTTGTGATTCTAAAGGGAAAAAAAATGAAACCTACTTAAACAGGGATTTGAGAAAGTACACAGATAAACATCTAAAGCTGGAGGTATAGCTCAGTGCAAAACCCAGGATCCAACCTCCACCCCCAATTAATATGCAGAAGTCACCACCCCTTTCATAAGCGCTAGTGATGTGGGGAGGTTACCCCAGGAGAGCTCTGCAGAGTCAGTGGAGACAGCAGACAGCACTCCCCTCACCAAGGCCCATTTGGATCTCCTGAGGAAACTTAGCACCAGCTGCAAATGGCAGCTTACCCTTCATACCGACAATGAGGTTTAACACTGTGTGTGTGGTCACAGCAAGGGGCTGGGATGGGCTTGGGAAACTTCTGTAGACTTCACACCATGCGCCCTTCCATTTGCTGATTTTAATTTATGTCCTTGGGCTGACATAAACTATAACCCAGAGCACTCCATGCTGAGCACTCCATGCTGAGCACTGAGTCCTCCAGAGCCATCAATCATGGGGTAGCTCTAATCCAGTCACCTAAAATTTAGTGCCTAAGTCAAATTCACACTGTTGTCTATTCAAATGCCACATTAAGTCCTCAAGGTCACTAAACTGCAGGTGAGGAAGCCAGGGATGTACTGTTTAAACAAGAGACATTTAGGGAACAAGAGTTTTCTTCAAAGAGCAAAACTAATACCAACTAATCCAGGTGCTAGTGGCTCACATCTGTAATGCTGCTACTAAGGAGCCTGAGATCTGGGGATCACATTTCAAAGCCAGCCCCAGCAGAAAGACAGAGACTCATCTCTAATTACCACCAAAAAGCCAAAGTAGGGCTGTGGTTCAAGTGACAGAACACTACCCTTGAGCATAAAAGCTCAGTGACAGCACACAGGCCCTGAGTTCAAGGCCCCGGATTGGCAACAGAAGAAAATCCAAAAACTGTCCACCTCAGAAAGCAGCAGATTTCTTTTCCCTAGAAGCAATGACAACATGCCAGCAAGAAGGTTAAGGCACATCACTTCTAAAGTTGAATTCACCTTCAAAAATTGTGATTCTAGGCTGGGAAGGTGGCTCAGTGGTAGAGCGCTTGCCTTGCATGCCTGAGGCCCTGGGTTCGATTCCTCAGCACCTCATAAGCAGAAAAAGGAAGAAATGGCACTACGGCTCAAAGTGGTAGAGCGCTAGCCTTGAGCTGAAGAGCTGAGGGACAGCGCCCAGGCCCAGAGTTCAGGCCCCACGACCAGACAAAAAAAATTTTAAAAATTGTGATTCTCGGGCTGGGAAGGTGGCTCAGTGGTAGAGCGCTTGCCTCATGTGTATGAGGCCCTAGGTTCCATTCCTCAGCACCACATAAGCAGAAAAAGCTGGAAATGGTGCTGTGGCTCAAGTGGTAGAGCGCTAGCCTTGAGTTGAAGAGCTGAGGGACAGCGCCCAAGCGCAGAGTTAAGGCCCCACAACCAACAACAACAACAACAAAAAAAAAAAACTGATATTTTGTGTGTGCTGGGACTGGGTCAGAGAGCTTCTTCACTTTTGGCTGGCACTTACCACCTGAGCCATGACACCATCTTTTTGCTGATTAATTAGAAGTAAAGTTTAGAAGACTTCTGCCCAGGCTATCTTCAAACTGTGGTCCTCAGATCTCAGCCTCCTGAGTAGCTAGGACTACAAGCACGAGCCACTAACTCCTCATTGTCTCATCCCCCAAAAACCATTTTGTTGTTTCTATGGATTTACCAACTCTGGGTATTTCAAGTAAAAGGGATCATACAATGCTGTTTATTTAAAAAATAAATAAAGTCAGGTGACTTTATTACAGACTCATGTCTGTAATCCTAGCTACTCAGCAAGCTGAGATCTGAGGATCAGGTTCAAAGCCAACTGGGGCAGGAAAGTCTGTGAGACTCTTATCTCCAATAAACCACCAGAAAACCAGACTGTGGCTGAAGTGGTAGGGTGCTAGGCTTGAGCTGAAGGACTTGGGGCCAGCGCCCAGGCCCAGAGTTCAAGCCCCATGACTGATGAAAAGAAAAGAAAAGAAAGAAAAAGAAAGCAAGCATGGCTGGGCGGCAGGGGCTCATGCCTGTAATCCTGAAGATAACAGTTTGAAGCCAGCCCAGGCAGGAAAGTCCTTGAGGCTCTTATCACCAATAAACTACTCAGAAAAAGCCAAAGTGGTAGAAAAAGGCTCAAGTGGTAGAGTGCTAGCCGTAAGTACAAAGAGGCTCAGGGATAGCACCCAGGCCATGAGTTCAAGCCCCAAGACTGGCAAAAAGAAGGAACGAAGAAAGAAAAGAAAAGAATGAAAGCAAGCAAGCAAGCTGACAATATAAATGGGAGATCTCTAGTTCTACATAAGCAGAAATCAAGAAATGTCCCAAGAATGCAGTGGGGTAGATTTCCATATTGAGGAGAGGGCATCATAAAGGACAGCACGCAGCATCCAAGAATGAGCTCAGTCCATAATGAACATCAGGCACCAGGATGCATACTCCCTGACTTCAAGATGGAACCATGAGACCATCAGAAAATTCACATGCTGAGACACTAAGCTTTGCAGTACCTATGGTGTAGGAGTTGGGAGAAAGGGAAAATCAATAGAAACTGAAAAGAAAGAAAAAAAGGCTTGACTGAAAAGTGGCATTTTATCTTGTTCCAAAGGAAAAGATAAAATTTAGACAGGTGGATAAAGATAAAAAGGAAAGATATATACACAGTACTTGTAAAAATCAATTTAAAAAAAAAAAAGCCTGGCCAAAACTGTGTGATTTCCAAACAAGGAGAAATAACAAGGTGGCAGATGCGACGGGTGAATCAGAGCAGTCTTTAAAATCAATGGAATGGCCTGAACAGCCTGGCTCTCAGCCAAGGGACACAGTGTGCCACCTCCAAGTCCTCAGCAGGTAAATAACTCAAGAAAGAACCTAAGAGAGAGGAGCTTAAGAAAGAAGGATACAGGGCTGGGAAGGTGGCTCAGTGGTAGAGCGCTTGCCTTGCATGCATGAGGCCCTGGGTTCAATTCCTCAGCACCACATAAGCAAAAAAGAAAAAAGCGGAAGTGGCGCTGTGGCTCAAGTGTTAGAGCACTAGCCTTGAGCTGAAGAGTTGAGGGACAGCGCCCAGGCCCAGAGTTCAGGCCCCACGACCGGACCCAAAAAAAAAAGAAAGAAGGATACAGATAATGTGGATTAGATCAAAGTAAATTACAAGAATGTATGGAAATACCACAAGGAAACCCCTCTAATCACTTACTTTTACTTTTTTTTGGGGGGGGGTCCGATGGTGGGGCCTGAACTCTGGGCCTCGGTGCTGTCCCTCAGCTCTTCAGCTCAAGGCTAGCGCTCTACCACTTGAGCCACAGCGCCACTTCCGGGTTTTTTTTTCCTGCTTATGTGGTGCTGAGGAATAGAACCCAGGGCCTCATACATGCAAGGCAAGCGCTCTACCACTGAGCCAACCTCCCAGCCCATTATTTTTAATTTTTAAAAAACTAAGCCAGCTGGGCACCAGCGGCTCATGCCTGTAATCCTAGCTATTCAGGAAACTGAGATCTGAGGACTGGTTCAAAGCCAGCCTCGACAGGAAAGTCTGTGAGACTCTTATCTCCAATTAACCACCAGAAAACCAGAAGTGACAATGTGGTTCAAGTGGTAGAACACTGACAAAAAAAAAAGCTAAGCCAGCCAGGTACCAATGGCTTACATCTGTAATCCTAGGTATTCAGGAATCTGGGGCTGGGAAGGTGGCTCAGTGGTAGAGTGCTTGCCTTGCATACATGAAGCCCTGGGTTCGATTCCTCAGCACCACATAAGCAGAAAAAGCCAAAAGTGGTGCTATGGCTCAACTGGTACAGCACTAGCCTTGAGCCCAAGAGGTGAAGGACAGCGTCCAGGCCCAGGCCCAGAGTTCAGGCCCCATGACTGGCAAAAAAAAAAAGAATGTCAGGAAGCTAATATCTGAAGATCATAGTTCAAACCGGCCTGAGCAGAAAAGCCCCATGAGAGCCAGGCGCTGGTGGCTCACGCCTGTAATCCTAGCTACTCAGGAGGCTGAGATCTGAGGATCGCGGTTCAAAGCCAGCCCGGGCAGGAGAGACCGTGAGACTCCTATCTCCAATAAACCACCAGAAAACCGGAAGTGGTGCTGTAGCTCAAGTGGTAGAGCACTCGCCTTGAGCTGAAGAGCTGAGGGACAGCGCCCAGGCCCAGAGTTCAAGCCCCCACGACCGACAAAAAAAAAAAAGAAAAGCCCCATGAGGCTTTTATCTCTAATTAACCACTCAAAAATCAGAAGTGGCGCTGTGGCTCAAGTGGTAGAGCACTAGCCCTGAGCACAAAGAGGTTCAGGGACAGTGCCTAGGCCCTGAGTTCAAGCCCCACAACCAACAAAAGAAATAAAATAAAGCTAAGCCAGGTGTTGGTGGCTCACACCTGTAATCCTAGCTACTTGGAAGGCTGAGATCTGAGGATTACAGTTCAAAGTCAGCCTAGGCAGGAAAGTCCATGAGATTCTTGTGCCCAATTAACTATCAAAAAGCCAGAAATGGTACTGTGGCTCAAAGTGGTAGAGAACTTGAGCAGAAAAGTTCAGGGACAGTGCTCAGGCCCTGAGTTTCAGCCCCAGGACTGGCACAAAAAGAAAAGGCTCTCTTTCAAGTTAGGACAAGGGCAGATATCTATGAATCTCCAGTACACAGGCGCCAAGATCAAGCCCCAATACTGGCAAAAAGAAAGACTTAGGGTTAGCACCAGACCCCTTCAATCCATCTGAGCAGTTTGCTCTGCTTACCTCTACAGGTAGTTCAACTGATGTGTTATAAGCACTTGGGGTCCACTGCTTGGAGACACTGACCTTGACATTGCTAAATGTTTTTCTTGAAGCATGGAGCAATGAATAACTATCAAACAGAAAGAAGAAATGTAGCAGAATTAGGAACAAACAACATAACACTCAGTGAGTCATACATACATGCCCATTTTCTTTATTCAATTTTAGAATTCTTTATTCTAAAAACAAAGGGGGGGGGGGGGGCAGGTGCTGGTGACTCACACCTATAATCCTAGCTACTCAAGAGGCTGAAATCTGAGGATCATGGTTCAAAGCCATCCCAAGCAGGAAAGCCTGCGAGACTCTTATCTCCAATAAACCACTAGAAAACCAGAAGTGCCGCTGTGGCTTAAGCAATAGAGTGCAGGGACAGCGCCCAGGCCCAGAGTTCAAGCCTCACGACTGACAAAAAAAAAGGGGGAGGAGGTGGCTGGGAAGGTGGCTCAATGGTAGAGTGCTTGCCTCACATGCACGAGGCCCTGGGTTCCTTCCATTCCTCAGCGCCAACAAGCAGAAAAAGCAAGAAGTAGTGTTATGGCTCAAGTGGCAGGGCACTAGCCTTGAGCTGAAGAGCTGAGGGACAGCGCCCAGGCCCAGAGTTCAGGTCCCAAGACCAACAAAAAAAATAACATAAAAATAAAAATTTAAAAAAGGAAACATTGCCAGGCATCAGTGGCTCACAACTGTAATCCTAGCTACTCAGGAGGCTGAGATCTGAGGATCAAGGTTCAAAGATAGCCTGAGCATGAAAGTTTTTGAGACTCTTATCTTCAATTAACCGAAAAAGCTGGATGTAAAGCTGTGGCTCAACTGGTAGAATGCTATCCTTGAGCAAGAAAGTTCAGGGACAGTGCTTAGACCTGAGTTTAAGCCTCAGCATGCACACATGCACACACGCACACACACACATACACACACACACACAGTACAAAGAAGGAATAACTTATTTCACTGGAAGTTTATGCCAAATTGTGCCCTAGACACTGTATGGCGGTTACTGCATATAGTAACCTCCATGCCAACACAAAATGAGTCGAGAAGAGCTATAGCCAAGCGCTACCTGAAGAAAGTGAGCAGGAACACAACAACATGGTGGTGGCTGAACCGGGTAAGCAAAGCCCCTCTCTGGAGAGCCCGTGGCCAGGCCATGTCCTCCTGCCCTCTTCTCAGGCTCACTGGAAGTGGGGTAATGAATGTATTACATCATTTCTTCTTCCTACAAAGATAAAACACATTATTAACATTATCTAAGACCAATGGAAAAAAAAGATCTAAATGATCCAACATTGATTCCATAAGACCTGAATCAAATCAGATTTATGACCAGTTAACAAATATTAGGACTTTGAAGGACAAAAATCTCATTGGGCAGTTGGCACCAGAAAACTGGATTGATAATTCTGTTCTATAAGCTAACTAATTCTGGAGAAAAAAAAATGAGAAACCTTGACCAAAAAAAAAAAATCCTCAACTGAAAGAATCCCCAAATGGCCGGGCGCTGGTGGCTCACGCCTGTAATCCTAGCTACTCAGGAGGCTGAGATCTGAGGATCTCGGTTCAAAGCCAGCCCGGGCAGGAGAGACCGTGAGACTCCTATCTCGAATAAAGCACCAGAAAACCGGAAGTGGTGCTGTAGCTCAAGTGGTAGAGCGCTCGCCTTGAGCTGAAGAGCTGAGGGACAGCGCCCAGGCCCAGAGTTCAAGCCCCACGACCGACAAAAAAAAAAAAAAAAAAGAATCCCCACATAGGGGTTGGGAAGGTGGCTCAGTGGTAGAGCGCTTGCCTTGCATGCCTGAGGCCCTGGGTTCGATTCCTCAGCACCACATAAGCAAAAAGAAAAAAGCCGGAAGTGGCACTGTGGCTCAAGTGGTAGAGCGCTAGCCTTGAGCTGAAGAGCTGAGGGACAGCACCCAAGCCCAGAGTTCAGGCCCCACTACCGGACCTCAAAAAAAAAAAAAAAAAGAATCCCCACATAAACAGAAAAATCACTTTTTTATTCTTTTAAAGTCAGGGCCTTGTACTCAAAAGACATAACTTATTAAATTTTAAAAAGCAAGGTCAAAAGACACTGGTAGTTCATATCTATAAATCCTAGCTAATCAGGAGGCTGAGATCTGAGGATCATGGTTCAAAGCTAGCCCAGGCAGAAAAGTCCATGAGACTCTTGTTTCTAATTAACCAACAGAAAACCAGAAGTGGCACTGTGGCTCAATGTAGTAGAGAACTCTTCGAGCAAAAGAGCTCAAGGACAGCACCTAGGCCCTGAGTTCAAGCCTTATAACTGACCAAAAAAAAAAAAAAATCTGAAGGCAAGCAGAAAAGTTCCTGAGACTCTTATCTACAATTAGTTAGAGTGGAAGTGCGGCTCAAGTGGTAGAACACCAGACTTGATTTGAAACCCTGAGTTCAAACCCCAGTACTGGCACAAAATAATAAAAGTAAAATGGGTACCAGTGGCTCACAATTCTAATCTTAGCTACTAAGGAGGCTGAGATCTGAGGATCAAGGTTCAAGGCCAGCCTGGGCAGAGAGTCAGTGAGAAGCTTATCTCCAATAAACCACTAAAAATAAAAAAGCTAGAAGTGAAGCTCAAGTGATAGCGCAGTAGCCTTGAGCAAAAAGAAGCTCAGGGTCAGCATCCAGGCCTTGAGTTCAAGCCCCAGAACCTGCACACTCACACATGCATTGCACACAAAGGAGGAAAAGCTAATTCTTACCACTTTCAACTACCACAATAGATTATGCATTCAGCAATACACTGACTGAGCAAATACTAAACGGCAAGCGCCTATGATTTCAGAAACACTGGAAAGAAATGTGACTTTTGTAACTACAGCCAGCATCACAGATTTTGCTAGAAAAATGCTGGACATCTGCTCAGTCTGTGTTGAACACACTAAAGAAAGTGGGCTTGGGAAAGCACAGTGTGTCTGTGATTGAGACTTGGCAAAAACTCCCACGCTCCCAGGGCCCGCTTGCAGCAGACTGGAAGGCCTCCTGTGATGCCCACCATTCACAGAGTGTTCTTTCTAATTATCATAATTACATAGGGCCAAGTGGCATAAGAGTATTCATTTCAAATGGCGACCTGCCAGCAGCAGGTGACTGCTTGAAACTATTTTCCCAACGTACCTATCAGGCCTCTTCTTCCCCATCTCTGTAGCTTAAGAAAAGTATTATTTAAAAACTAAGTCCATAGGGTCGCAAAATATCCCAGTAGGGCTGGGAAGGTGGCTCAGTGGTCGAGCACTTGCCTTGCATGCATGAGGCCCTGGGTTCAATTCCTCAGCACCACATAAGCAAAAAGAAAAAAGCCAGGGGGGGGCTGGGAAGGTGGCTCAGTGGTAGAGCGCTTGCCTTGCATACCTGAGGCCCTGGGTTCGATTCCTCAGCACCACATAAGCAAAAAGAAAAAAGCCGGAAGAAAGAAAAAAGCCGGAAGTGGTGCTGTGGCTCAAGTGGTAGAGCGCTAGCCTTGAGCTGAAGAGCTGAGGGACAGCGCCCAGGCCCAGGCCCCACGACCAGACCCCCCCCCAAAAAAAAAAAAAATCTCAGTAGCCACTGAAAGCTATTAATGTAACTTCAGAGCCCCTAATGACACAACTGTCATTCCTAAGGCAGTGTAATCCCAGTTAAGATTTGTATTTATATTTATAATACAAATTGTATACATCGGGGCTGGGAAGGTGGCTCAGTGGTAGAGCGCTTGCCTTGCATGCTCAAGGCCCTGGGTTTGATTCCTCAGCACCACATAAGCAAAAAGAAAAAAGCCGGAAGTGGTGCTGTGGCTCAAGTGGTAGAGCGCTAGCCTTGAGCTGAAGAGCTGAGGGACAGCACCCAGGCCCAGAGTTCAGGCCCCACGACCAGACCCAAAAAAAAACCAAATTGTATACATCTACATTGGTATAGATTTTTTTTTCTTTTTTTTTTTTTTGTCAGTCATGGGGCCTGCCTGAACTCTAGCCCTGGGCGCTGTCCCTCAGCTCTTCAGCTCCAGGGTAGCGCTCTACCACTGGAGCCACAGCACCACTTCCGGCTTTTTCTGCTTATGTGGTGCTGAGGAATCGAACCCAGGGCCTCATGCATGGAAGACAAGCACTCTCCCACTGAGCCTCCTTCCCAGCCCCTAGATATTTTATTTATATAGTATTTGTTAATGTTATTTTATATATATATTTAGATATTTAGATATTCTATATTAAATTTATAATATGAACATGTATTTGCTACATTTATCATATAAATATATTGAAAGACCCTAGTTTCCTAGGATGCTTTCGTCAACAGGAGGGCGCCCCAGAAAACTCAGACTCCAGGCCGGGAGATGCAATAAGCAAGAGGAGTTTATTTGACGTTTGCGCAAACGGACTCTGTCCTGAGCAGACAGGGAGCCCGGAGCAGCAGTTACAAGCCTTTTTAAAGGCAAAAACCACAAGATTAACGCATAACACAAAGCATCCCATGATTGGTCCAATTAAAGGTCACCATATACACCAACAATCACTTTGCCACGCGGGAAATTTTGTAACACTCTTTGTAAAATGACTGGCCCATGGTTGGTCTAAGGGGGGTTTACATGGTTACAGGCCTATGATTGGTTGACATTTGGCTTAGCTTGTGGTCTTGCCAGGTGGTCGTTATCTCAAGGTCCTGTCTGGGGAATTTCTAAATGGGAACTGAGGAACACGTACTGTCTGTTTTTTTTTTTTTTGTCTACGACCACTGACCTTGTCCTGGGGCCGGCATCTGGTCTCTGAAACTTCTTAACTCATTTTTGGGAAGGGAAGGGTCAATGCTAGCGTAAGCAAGTTTACAGAAGCAGAATCAGCAGTTAGCAAGTTAGTAATGGTAATGGTCAATTTTTAATCTTTCAATATATTTATAAAATATTACATATTTAGCTGGGCACCAGTGGCTCACCCACACCTGTAATCCTAACTATTCAGGAGACTGAGATCTGAGGATCACATTTCAAAGCCAGCCTGGATTTGATCAGGGAAGTCCATGACACTCTTATTTCCAATAAACCACTAGAAAACTGGAAGTGGCACTGTGGCTCAAGTGGTAGAGGGCTGGCCTTGGGCTGAAGAGCGCAGGGACAGCGCCCAAGCCTAGAGTTCAACCCCACAACTGACCAAAAAAAAAAAAAAAATACATATATTTTATACACATTTATTATGCTACTGTTCTCTTTATTATTTGGCAATACTGGGGTTTGTGTGCTTGCTAGGCAAGCATTCTACCACCTGAACCACAACTCCAACTCCTTTTGTTCTTGTTTTTTGGCCAGGTTGTAATCCTCCTATTTATACTTCCCAGACATATATTTTTCTCACTGTAGCTGCACTGACAGGTGTGACCCACATCATCTAGATTTTTCTGTTGAGCTGCAGTCTTATACATTTTTGGTCCAGACTGGCCTGGAGGTATAATCCTCCCAATCTAAGCCTCTCGCATCGCTGAGATGACAGGAGATTGTGGTACTGGCACCCAGCGGGAATTGCTATTTTTCCTGGAATTATTAAGCTTCATGTCATATACCTGTGAAGTACTCAGCACAGTGTTCTGAGGCAATTGTATTCAACTCAAAGAGCTACAATTTCTAGAGAATGGGTAACTCACCAGGTTATTCCACTTGGGTTTTTTGTTTTTTTTTGGTCCGGTCGTGGGGCCTGAACTCTGGGCCTGGGTGCTGTCCCTCAGCTCTTCAGCTCAAGGCTAGCACTCTACCACTTGAGCCACAGCGCCACTTCCGGCTTTTTTCTTTTTGCTTATGTGGGGCTGAGGAATCGAACCCAGGGCCTTGAGCATTCAAGGCAAGCGCTCTACCACTGAGCCACCTTCCCAGCCCCTGGGTTTTTTATTTAACTTCTACAGTAGAGGTAAATTTAGTAGCAGCACTAAATTTTTAGCTCTTGTTTTGTAATTTCTGTTTTTTTAGCACTAAATCTGCAAGCAAGTAGCTCTTATTCTTGTAACTTCTAGACTTAACAGACAGAAAATATATTTACAGGCCAGGCGCCTGTAGCCCACACCTGTAAACCTAACTACTCAAGAGGCTGAATTCTAAGGATTGTGGCTTGAAGCCAGCCTGGGCAGGGAAGTCTATGAGAGTCTTATCTCCAATTAACCTATCTCCACAAAATGCCAGAAGTGGAGAAATGGCTCAAGTGGTAAAGCTCTAACTCTGAGTTCGAGCCTGTGACCGAAGAGGGA